AATCCATGGATAAATTTAGGAAACACTGCAGCCTAAGGTTTGCTCCCCCAACCCAACAGGGAACCTGACCTGTAACCTGGTTTATATAAGCAAATGCCTCAGAGCTCAGAACTGACAGAGACTACCCTGTTCCGTGCATTACACTGTTAATCTTTGCAACCTATTACACATATATGATAAATATCCACAGATACAGGCTTAAGTGACTTGCTGAAGGTCATGCAGTGTCCGGAGGAGAAGCAGGATTCGAACTCAAATGGCATGGATTCCAGGGCCCTTGTCCTTACTACTGTGGGGAGCCTGGCACCTGGGCCAAAGATCAGCGGTCTGGTTCTTCACAGTGTGGTGTGGGAGAAAGCACACTCAGAAAGACTTAATTGCAATCTTAGTTACCTAACAGCAGGTGGATCAATTACATTTCTAGATGCAGTTTTCTCTATTGCAAATGGAGACAACAGGGCTGCTTTAAGGAGTAAATGTGTGATGTGTTACTTTTTTACTACCTCTAGTGCAGTTTGGGAAAATTATTATTTGCATTTTTCTTGTTCAAATAACCTCCATAAGAAAGGAAAAAAAGACTATAGGCACAAAGAAGTCAATTAGCTGTTGGCCGCGCGGCGCCGCGCTCGGCGGCCGCCATTTGCAGAGACAAAATTATCTAAAAATATAGAATTGATGTATTTTTAACCTAGGAAAAATAAAGTACAAAACTTTTCTCCCCCTTAGGAGATTGAGAGTAGAGAGCATAACTTACTACAAAGGAAAAAGATTTAGTTTTCTCTCCATTTTAACATTTCTTCAGGGCTGCACACTGGTTATAGCCTGTGAGACTAGTTCCACTCTGAAATAATGAAGTTCAACAATATTTTGGAGATTCTGAAAATGGCGGCGGGCTAGGGGATCGAGCGAAGAGTCTCTCCAGAGAATTCAAACTCGAAGCTAAAAAAAGACAGCATGGAGAGGGCCAGACAAATCGATAGCGATTCTTATTAACCAAGACAGCACAGCTGGAGGATTTAAAGTCGTGCTGAGACCTTCAACGCCGATATCGGGAGGCTGCAAATCCCACGCCCTTAAATCAACAAACAGACTTGTGGACCCAGCACGAAAAGCTGAGTTGCTTTTGGGGACTGCGGGAAACGGAGACCCGGACCGAGACTCCAAGTAGCAGCCAGTTCTGCACCGCTGCACCAGAGCGGATGCACAAAGCTCTGGCATTTCAAATCTAAACGGTGCAGATATCTGACCGGTCAGCGCTGTGCCGGGAGTGCGGGAAAAGTGGACAGCTTGGTGTGCGGCGGTCCCGGAACAAGGACTTGCACCGGACTCTGGTGAGTACAGAGAACCCCGCGGCTGCTGGGTTTGGCCAGAGAACAGCTGGCCCGCCACCACGGGGAAATCAATAACACAGAGTCTGGTGCAGACATATTAGCGTGATGGCAGAAACCGCAGCTTGGTGACATCACCAGGTCCCCTTGTAGGGAGGGCTGGTGGAAGACATCTTGAGTCCTGGCAGAGCCTGATTACTTGCTAGCTTCAGCTCCACACAGAGAACTTAGTGGGAGCCATCTTAGTTTTGGGCAGATCTGCTTTTCTGGTGCTCCTGTCACAGAGAGGTTTGGAAGAGAACGGCTGGGACTTGGGCAGAATCCTGTGCCATTACTCAGCTGCTTCTGATTCAAAGAGAACTGGCAGGAGCTACTGGGGCTAAACCAAGCCTCTGCTTGGGGCCCAATAAGCGGATACAAAATAGTCACAACTCAGTGACAACCAGAAAGTACAGCCTAATTTATGAACTAACTGACACAGAGGCTAGAGACTAGACTGTACCGCCCCAGCATCCCAGCCTACCCCAGATAACAGCAAATTGGGGAGGACAGCAAAAACTCAAGCCAGCACGCTTCTGAGAGGCCCTAAGCAATTCGGAGAGGGCCAGAGAACTCCAGGACAGTCTGAAAGAAACCAGAAACATGACAAGAGATAAAAATAAAAAAAAATCTCCAGCTGTTCAACAGGAGAAAATAAACCCAAGAGAACTAAACACTGAAGAGAACAAACACAGTAACCATCCTCTACTCGACACAGCATCAGCCGAAATTAAAAAGTACTTACATGATCTCATAGAGGAATTTAAAGATGTACTCCTGATCCAAGTGAGGCAAGATATAAAGAGATTAATTAAAGAAATGACAAGCCCCGCCCAAGAGAACACAGATGGAAGAACTGAGGAAATCAGAAAAGAAAGAGAAGCATCTGAAGAAGAATTTAAGCATAACTTAGAATACATGAAACAGATCCAAAGAGAATATCAGGAAACTAAAAACTCCATTGAATATTGGCAAAATGCCTTGACAGAAACTAAAGACAACTTTCTGAAACTTGAAGAGAGATTTAGGGCTTATGAACGTGAAAGAAAAAGCCTCTTAAAAATAACAAGGAACCAGAAAGAAGCAATTCTAAAACTGGAAGATGATAAAAAGATACATAACCTAAGAATAAAGAATGTGAGTGAGGAAGCAGGAACATCCAAAAATGAAATACAAAAAATATTCACAGATATATTAAAGCAAAATTTCCCACGTATAGCAAAAAGAAATGATATCCAGATAAAAGAAGCATACAGAACGCCAGCTACCTACAACCAAAACAGATCTACGCCTAGGCATATAATAATCGAGATCCCAGAAATCCACCAAAAAAACAGAATATTAAAAGCAGCCAGAGAAAAGATGCAGGTTACCTATAACGGGAAATCTATCAAAATAACAGCAGACTTATCAACACAAACTCTTAAGTCAAGAAGGGAGTGGGGAGAAATATTCCAAGTCCTGAAGGAAAAAAATATACAACCGAAGTTCATATATCCGTCAAAACTCTCTCTAAAAATTAATGAAGAAATAAGATACTTTCAAGACAAGGAGGAACTGTGGGAGTTCGTGGCCACCAATCCAACCCTACAGAGAGCGCTGAAGGACATTACAGAGAAAGAGAGGAAGAGATATCAGGATTACAGCTACAGTGGCAGAGAGGCCTCAGTGAACGGGGCAGACAATGGAATGAGGGAATAAGGTGGACAAATTATAGCAGAAAAGTGGAGTAGCAGACATGAGGCAGAGACGGTAAGCTAGTCTTTAGTAGAGACAGCTCTGAAACTATATTTAAAAAAAAAAAAAAGCAGAGGTCATTGCTAATGGTGTATAACGATTTAAAAGACACAGTAGTCCTAGTGCCATATTTAGATTGAATTAAATTTGTTCTGGTCTGTCCACTCATGTCAGATTTGAGGACACAGACCTCTAGAACCAAAAATAGCAGGTTATACCATGGTAACTATCCTTACTTTCCTATTGACTTAGGCTGAAATCCTGTATTACTTACATTGTCTTACTATGACTGATCTTAATTGTATCTGAATCATAAGACTATTGGTTGGCCTTGACTGATCCTATTTGAAATCGGTATGCGTGTTAGAATCAACCCTAAAAGTAGAGGAAACTACTCTGAGCATGACAAGATGTAAAGGATATCCATACTGGTATGAATCAGTAACAGCTCTCAAATACTACAATGCAGTCAAAGATAAGTTTTTATAAAAATAGGTGATAGTATGTTTAACTATAATAAGCCAGTGTTGTGGACAAATCTATTGAAAATAACAAGAGAAAACATAGTAGCTACGGAAGATCATTTCTATTATAGTTTTATATGTCTTATCCATTGCATGTTTTTCTAGGAAATTGTTTCGCTGTCTTGTTATGACTTGGTTTTCCCTATAATACAGAGAGGATAGGAACAAATACTCTGAGGAAGAGACCTGAAAAACCCGAGGCTTATTTTGTAGCATTATAATATAAATTCTAGCAATCTATTGTTTGCTGATTAGAATGACATTGGACTGGTTTCTTCAGCTCAACTTCAGCATATGCAGAGATGGGGACGGCTATCACAGAGAGAATGAGAGATGCGATGGTAGTTGCTATTGTCTTCCCTAATTTGGAACTTGAGGACCTAAAAAGACTTCATCATCCTGTAATGATTTGATTAGTTCTATAATATGCAATAAGTATATAAAGTGGGTGAAGTTAGGGACAACTATTTGTAAGAAGCTAGAGACAGTTAGATAAGGAAGATCTCCAGTGGACTTGCTTTGAAATCTGTATTTCTTTAAATTGTTTTTTATTTTTGTTTTTTAAATGTTCTGTTCTGATTTGATATGGTTAACCTTACCCTCTTTGAGATGTAAAACAAATAGGTGGGACTGATAATCATATTACGGAGCTTTTGTTCGATCATAGAGCAGAATGGTTTGTAGGGTCACTTTTTTTAATGTCATTCTAAATACTTTAATTCTATAACCTGAACAGCCATTTCGAAGATGACAATTTGTAACTTATCAACCAGCAATTTCTTACCTTTTGTTTGTCTGTAATTCAGTATTATTTCTACCCTTTTTTTTTTAATCTCCATGTATTTTTTTTTCCGTTTCCTTTTCTTTAAATAAAAAACAAACAAACAAACAAACAAAAAAAAACCCCAAAGAAGTCAATTAGAGAATCACGGAGCAAAAACTCATCAACCACAGATGGATATACAGTAGCTACTTAGTGGTTATGTTCAAGAGTAGAGACAATATAAAGGGCTAATAAAGACTGAAATGCCACTTAAAATTATTTTTGCTTATGTGAACTATGAGGCAATTAAAAATACACCTCATCTAAACATGTATGTACAAACGAATGACAACATACAACTATGGCCATCAGAAATGCACCCCATGGCTGAAAAAGCATGGAATACTGGAAAATCAGATCTGTCGGGGCAGTGGGACTGCGTGAATTTTCCCTTTTTAAAATGCATTAGAATTCTAATAACAATGTTAGAACACTGGAAGTGTGCAAAAGAAAAAAAGCTTAAATTTAGATCTGATACATGCAGGGGCACAGTAAGAGGCCAGTGCCATGTGATGCTCAAGCCGGTTTCTGGAGACCTGGGCACGGTACCTTCTGTGTTGACCACAATGATTCCTTGCACTCCTTTCTGGCTCTGAAGTCGTTTCAGTGTCTCTTCCACCTCTGCCTGCCAGAAAATAATCCCAAAGTTAGGAGAGCCCAGGTAAATGGATTAACTTCCCCACAAGCCAGGCAGAAGAGCTGCACATTCAACTTCTACAGACCAGAAACACCGGAGCCTGGATGCCGTCTCAAAGCTCCCCAGCCCATGCAGAGTGGTCCTCGAGCCACCACTAGATCCTAGAGCAAGAGCTCCCACTTGAGTATGACACGACTCAGGGCTGCTCACCAGGCACTGTTATCTCACTCCCGCAGCCCCAAGTTATTTGGAAGAAAAATACAAATACCATTCTCTGGAGTATACATACATCCATGACTCACATTTGGTATATCTGAGAGGCAGAATTCTGATGGTTGGGAAAAAACAAAAACAAAACCAAGCACTAGTTTGTAACAGGAAGGAGACATTTTGTAATTTGTGGCCCAAACAATACAACTGAAAACATTTCAAAGGAAGCAAAATGACACTGTGTGATTTAATAACCTGGTATCTGAGATGGTGTGACACATGGCATGCAGCCACAGGAAACGGGTCCCAGCAGGGGCTTATTAGTCCTGATTATCCAGGGTGGGAAACAGAGTAGAATATTTTGGCACACAGAATCTGTAAACAGAGGGCAACTCAGATGGCTGGGTTTTCACTGTGCCATCAAAGCCTTCTACATTCCTACACCCAGCTACTTTACTTTTCTCTCCACTCTGTATCAGGTTGCCCCCATGTCCCTGTCCTCATGTCTTTTTACTCTACCAGGCCCCTTTTTTGCTGAAATCCAACAAAATGTTTAAAACAACTGAACCTTCAATAATTCTTGAAAGCCTTTATCGATTCCCAACTCAATGGAGTTTTGCCTGCATCCAATTCCCCCAAATCCTTACCTTTGCCTGCCTGGGACACATACCTGGCACTGTGATTCTAACTACCAAGTCTCTACAAAGATCTGCAAAGGAGGATTTCCATCAAACCGCTGATTAAAGTCAGGCATGGTGGTGCACACCTGTAACTCCAGCACACTGGGAGGAGAAGACTGCAAGTTTGAGCCCATCCTGGGCAACTTTGTGAGTTAGCAACACCCTGACTCAAAGTAAACAATAAAAATGTCTGGGGATGCAGCTCAGTGTAAACGCCCTGGGCTGAACCCCCAGTAAGGCTACTTAACCAGGCTTAACTCTTCCTGTCTCGGGAAAATGGGCTGAAAAAGTAAGCTTGTTCTGGTGGCCTCTTCCAGACTGGTCCAGAGTGCAGTAAAAAGGTCCTCAAAGGCGGAGTTTTTGGAGACAAAGGTTCCATTCACCAAAAGTGAATGGTTTCCCTCTCCTGGAGGGTGGGGGAGGGGAGACTGAACACTGGGTGGAGACAGCACAATCAATTATTGTTTTTCTGCAAAGTACAAGGCTGATAATCCAGTCACTACCACCCACTCTCTAGTGATGTAAAAATACTCTCAAATGCTGGAGGCAGGAGCAAACAAATTGCTCCCACAAAATGGCAAGTCACATGATGCCCCTAAAACCCGCAGTCTGAGTAAAAGGTCAGAGCTGGCTCTGTGGACATGAGTAGGCTAGAGGGGTCATATGTGTCAGGTCCTTAGTCATTCAAGGAACTTTCACTGAGCTCCTACTATGTGCTGGGTCCTACTGTGGAGGGGAAGAGTAAGTATAAAGGTCAATACTGTATAGTATTCTATCTGACCTGGTCACCCTACTGGAAACTGCTTTTCTCAACTTTTGATTTGCACACATTTGCCATACACAGTGCTCCCATTCCTCTCCCCTTCAACACTTCTCTTCTCCATTTATGGAAGTTTTCTTTCCATTTTTTTCCTTCCTTTTTTGGTAATCCCTTTTCCCTTTCTTCCCTCCCTCTTCCCTATTCCCCTTTCCATTTGAATATTTCTTCCTACTTCCCAGTATCTGTCCTCCATTATGCTCCCCATTTACCCTCAGAGTTTCTCACACAAGAGAAACAATGTGATGTTTAAACTTGTGTCTTATTTCACTTAAAATTATGGTCTTGAGGTGCATGCACCTACCTACAAATGACTCCACTTTATCCTTTAGCAGGGTAGAAGCACTCCATTGTGTATAAATACATTTTCTTTATCCCTTCATGTGTTGATAGGCACATAGGCTGTTTCCAAAACTCAGCCGTTAAATATTGTGCCACTATAAACACGGGAATGCATAATCACTGTGGTATCACACTTTTAACTCTTTTGGGAAGAAACCTAGAAAGGGCACAGTTGGCTCAGAGTAAACTCTTGTTTTAGTTCTCTGAGCAATCTCCGCACTGGTTGTAGCAATTTACACTCCCACCAACAATGGATGCTTCCTTTTCCCCCACAGTCCCACCAGAATTTATTATTGATTAATTTCTTAATGATAGCCATTCTTTTGGGAGTTAGAATCTCAGTGTTGTTTTAATCTGCATTTCTCAACTAACCAGGGATGTTTTTCATACATGTATTTGCTGTTTGTATTGCTTCATCTGAAAAGTATCTGTTCACTTCCGATGTCCATTTTTGGATTGGGTCTTTAAATGTATATGGAGGGCTCCTGAATTTTTTTAAGTTCTTTTTATATTATATATATATTAATCTTTTGAGAAGTTCCTGGTAAAATTTCCCCATTCTGTGCTAGTGGCTTCCTCAGCTAGTGGCTTCCTTTGTTATGCAAAAGCCTTTTAATTTAATGTGATCTCAATTATTCTAATATTTCCTGTGTAACTGGAGTTTTGTTTATAAAGTCTTTGCCTATACTTGTCTTTAAGAGTTTTACCTATTCTGTCTTCCAGCAGATTGTTTTAATATTTAGATCTTTGATGTATTTCGATTTTAGTTTAGTGCACAGTGAGAGATACAGCTCTCGGCTCAATCTTCGGCATATGGAAAGCCAGTTTTCCCAGGAACATCTATTAAAGAGGCTGTCTTTCTTCTAGTGAATGTGTTTAGTCTGTTTGTCAAAGATAAGGTAGCTGAGAGTGCCTACAGTTATTTCTATATCTTGTATTCTGTTCCATTGACCCTAGTAGCTTTGTAGTATAATTTCAAATTGCTCATTTTAAGGAAACAATCGAAAACGAGAATAATGCAGCAAGATGTTTGCTGCTGTGCTACCTGCAATAGCAGAAAGAATTTAAAATGCTACCAAATTAGAGAAAAGCCAAGTAAATTATGGGCTATCCACTATAAAAATACAATACACATACTAACAGTAGTGACTGGACTATCAGATGCCCCTACAAAAGGTCTGTGATATAATGGGGTTTTTTTGTTTGTTTGTTTTTTAAGACAGAGTCTGGCTGTGTAGCTCAGGTTGCTGCCCTTGAGCTCACTATGTGGCCCAGGTTGGCCTCGAACTTAGTGATCCTCCGGCCTCAGCCTCATAAGTGCTGAGATGACAGGCATGCAGCATCATATCACATGCCTGGCAAGTGATATAATGTTAATTGGAAACAGCAAAATGCAAAAATAAAGCACCTGGTGACTGTACTCACATAAACATAAGAGGGCTAGAGGATGAAATTATAGGGAGAAAAGCCATTTTCAGAATAGGGAATTACAGATGGGCTTTGTATAACTTTAGTGACAATTTAGCTCACTCAATGAATGATCAGGAAAAAGCCAGGCATGGTGCTGCATGCCTGTCATCTCAGCACTGAGGAGCCTGAGGATCGCCAAGAGTTTGAGGCCATGATCAGCTCCTGGCTACAGCAACCAACCTTCCCTTTGTTTGCTGCACTTGAGCCATGCTGGCTCTTCTGCTCTTCTTCAAGCACGCTGGACACTGTCCAGCCCAAGGTGCTTTCCTGCCAGCCAGCTGTGAGGTAAGGAGGGACAACATCAGATGCCGCTCAAGGCTGGCTCTGGCTGCCGTGTGGGAGGGATTGGGGGGACACAGCCTAAGGGAGTCCAGCTTCTAGCCTCGGTGCCTGACATGGGCTGCTCCCTGTTTGGTAGGGATACAAGCCTCTCTCTCGCTCCCTGACTTAATTCTCAGATTCAGCTTTTCCGTTTGTGGCTTCTGGTGGGAGCCTTCTTTAGTATCAGCCTCTCTCCAGGTACCCTTGGCACCTAGCCTTCATGGCACTTATCACAGAGAAGCGTAACAGTTGTTTCACATCCATCTCCCGACCCACAGCACCGTGCAAGCAGAAAACCAGAATCTTTACAGTGCCAGTACCAGGCCCAGGGCAGACTCTGTACTTAAGGACAACACAGTAGCTAGCTGAGTGGGGTGGCAGGGGGCTGCAATGCCAGCACTTTGGATGAGGCAGGAGGATCTCAAACTGGAGACCTGCTTGGACAATTTAGGGAGATCTTGTCTCAAAGTAAAAAACAAAACGGGGAGGAGGCTTAGCTCAGTGCAAATGCCCTGGGTTCAAGCCCCACTACCAATAATTAATTAATAGCATTTCTGAAACTATGTTTCATAAAATCTTCTAAGTACAAGAGAGAGGACATGTTTCAATGTAACGAAGAGCTAAAGTTTAGGTGGCTTTAGTCTAATAGAAGCAGCCATCGAGATCTGGCCGTTTAACAAGCAAGTACATACTTATGAGAAGCAAGACACATGAGTTTATATTTGTGTACTCAGGATCTCCTTTGAGTCATGTGTTGCTTTCAGACATATGGTCCCGTGTGAACCTCTTTTTCATCCTCTATGATTAATATAATTTTACAGGTGAGGAAACTGAGGTTCAGAAAAGAGAAGAATTTTGCCCAAGAACACAGAGCAGGTCAAAAGAAGAGCTAAACTGGGCATGGTGGCACATGCCTGTAATTCCAGCACTCAGGAGGCTGAGGCAGGATTGACACAAGTTTGAGGCCAGCCTGAACCTCAGTGAAACCCTGTCTCAAAAAAAAGAAAAAAAAAAAAAAAAAAAAGAGCTACAGTTTCACTGTTAAAGAGGCTGAAGTGGTAGGATCACTTGACTCCAGAGTATAGGACAACAGTGATGGTGAACCTTCTAGAGTTTTCAGTGATATGAACAGCCCGCTGCAGCACACATGCCATAGGTTCGCCAACCTTGCTCTCGGGGTTGGGAGACCAGCCTGGGTAACATAGCCAGACCCTGGCTCAACAACAAGGGCAAAAGGTACCCACCCTAAATGGGGCTCATATCCTAGTGGAAGAGACTGTAAAAAAAAAATTTTTTTTTTTTTGTTGCAGGTTTACAGGGATGGTGTGGGGGTTAGAGATCGAGGATAACTCAAACTGGATACTGAGGTCAGGAAAATCAAAGAAAGTAATTTGTAAATTAGGAACTAAATGTTGACAAAAAAAAATACACTTCCCTCAATGTAGAAAGGAAACAAGTTTCTGAGTTTTCTAGTTCCCAGGTGCATGTGGCCAACAAATGGCATACAGCAACAATAAAGCTCTGAAATTATTTACTGGCGCAGCACAGGAGGGTAATTATCTGAAGATGGCTTTTTTTTTTTGGTCTTTTTCGTTTTTATCGGTACCAGGGATCGAACTCACGACTGCCTGCTTGCAAGGCAGGTGCTTATGCCGCTGAGCTAAATCCCCAGCCCCGAGGGTAATTATCTGAAGCAAGTGATTAATGAAACAAATATGACTTTTGCCTACTAAACATAAAACCTTAACTTCTGCAAAACAATAATGAACCAAAGAGCACAGAAAAATATCTGCGTCAATAACAAAGGAATAATTCCTAAAACATCACATAAAAGAGCCGGGAGTGGTGGTGCATGCCTGTAATCGCAGCACCTGGGAGGCTGAGGCAGGAGGATCATTGCAAATTCAAGACCAGCTTAGGCTACAAAGTGAGCTCAAGGCCAGCCTGCACTGCATAATGAGAATCTGTCTTGAAAAGACAAAAAAAAAAAAAAAAAAAAAAAAAAAAAAAAAAAACCCAAAAAAACAGTTTGCTTTTGGCTTGGAAATATAGCTCCGTGCCAGCACTTCCCTAGCGTTTGTGAAGCCTGGATTCAATCTTAATACTACACACCAATGCGGGCATGTGTACAAAGTATTCCTTGTATGAGACTATTCAACAGATCATTATGGGTTGTAGAAAGCTTCCATTTATGCCATGAAAAAAGGGGGCACTTGTATATGTTTATATAGGTACACAAGAAACTAAACGTTGTTTCTCAAGGAGACTGAAGGTAGGGTCAGGGTGGCTGGAAGACTTATTTTTCATTCAGGTAGACAGATAAACTGTGTACAAGTATCCTGTTAAAAACTGTAGTTAACATGATCTGAAAGACAAAGTTATACGTATTTGAATCATTATGTTTTTAATGACGTGGAGGCCATTTTTTGTGGTGCAATAATGAAAAACACAATTTTATATTCAATGACAGTGAAACTATGTAAAACATCTGAAGCCAAAATGACATTAACAGTAAATGATCGCCTTTAGATGTCATTACTTCTTTTGTTTTACAATTTTGCTTATAAGCTTTACATTTCTAAATAAGATTTTAAAAAGGTAATATAGCCATATATTTAACATGTAAAAGGTTTTGGCCAATTTTGTACAAGCAGAGAGAAAATAAGCAACAATACCCTGTGTCAAAGTGTAAAAGAGGCCAAGGCTGCAGGCAGGGCAGGCGGCTTTGGAACCCCCAAGGGCAGACCCGCCATTCATGACTCATGCACTTAACCTGCGCGGCTGGGAAAAGTCAGACAGACAGAGGCAGGTCAAACTTCTCCAATTTAAACGCACCGTCACCATTTCCTGGAGCAAAGCTTGACTTTATAAAGCTTTAGATTCCAAATGTGTACGGATGGTAATTGTCACACTGACCTCACAGAGCTGTCAGATGAGGAGGACAAGACACAGACAGCGGTGTCTGCCATCTATGGAGCTTCCTGGAAACACTACCTTTCAGGTTGGAGCCGCGTACTCAGACCCAACAGCCGGGCTGCTGCAGCCCAAGCGCCAGCCGCCGCAGCCCCCGCTTCCGGCCGAGAGGCAGCCGCTTCCGGCAGCCCCGCCTCGCCCTAGTTCCAGAAGGCCGCGCCGCCCGGGTTCCGCCCTCCAGTCGCCTTGGGCCCAATGAAGACTCCTCTCGTTGTAGCTCAGAGTCTCCCGTGAACAGGCAGCCAGTATGGCAGTAGCAGATAGCCGCTAGCCACAAGCTCCGGGTGGACACTCACCATCTCTGGCTGGTCCAGTAGCTCCGCGTCGCCAACAAGCAACCTACTTCCAAACCTTTCCGCGCCTGCGCACAGCCCTCTGTCGACAGGAACTGCTTCGGCAGCCTATCAGAAGCCAGCGGAGGAAGTGGGGCGGGCGGGAGAAGTGATCTGTCAGTTCCGCCTGGGCTCGCGGAGAATCCGCTCTTTTCCGTCCAAAGGGGAAAAACAGAGGAGCATTATAACTCTGGAAAATTCCTAACTCCAGCTGAAGAAGAAGATGCTGGTTCTGGAGTGCCAGAAGAGGCTTCATTCAACATTTGAGGTCCGAGCTGGGTCTGGATGTCCTGGGTGGAGGATAGTTGGGAGAGTGTAGGGCTGAGAGCTACAGTTGCTGAGACCCCCCTGGCGCCTAGATTGAGCCTGAGAGGCGCGAAGCCAAAATGCACAGCAGACAGGGAAGGTCCTGAAGTTAAATTCCAGTCAGGGATCGCTGGAGTCTGTCGAGCAACCCCTTGAAAATATTCCATACAAGTCATATGACATAAGTTACGGGTAGCCTGGGTGTCGATTATTTAGGAATTTGAGTTCATTGCCACCAGGTAACTTGGACAGAGCGACTTTACATCTCTTATGTTGTATCGTTTTTCACCTTTAAAAGGGGATCGCTCAGGCTGTCCTGGAACTTGCGGCGCCACGCCTGTCATTTCAGCACTCGGCAGGCTAAGGCTGGAGGATCGTCTCGAGTTCCAGGGCAACATGGGCTATATAGTGACTCCAGGCCGGCCTGAACTATTTAGCGAGACCCTGTCTTAAAAAACAAAGACAGCCACCACCCCCGTAAAAACACCCCCCCCACAACAAAAGCACGAAAAAGGAGATCTTTCTAGAATTTGTGTTGTCCCCCTTCCCACTATAACCACTTGCTCCTAAGCACCACAAATATTTCTGAGCCTTGTAGCAAATGTTTGCCATTTAGTGACTCTTTGGCCATGTTACTGTGCCCAACATTTGGCATGCACTGTGTGCAAGTAGTTCACCATAGTATCAACATCCCCACTTGACAAATCTATTTCTTCCTGGGCCTTCTGAATCAAGACTGTGAGCAACCCCCAGATTTTCATCCATGGTAGTCTCACTTCAAGTGGGAAAGGATTTGGTGCTCTTTTCAAGGGTTTCTACATGGATAGAGACTTTACTAACCAAGAAACTAGCAGACACTTCTTAAGCAGACTGAGGTTAATGTTCCTGGTAATGGGACATACTGATGCCATGTGCCCCTGGATTATGTATGAAGGGTACATCCATCACCTTTTAGTAGTTTTCACAAAAATCCACAGCCTTCATCATAAAAAAAAAAAAATTTTTTTTTTTTGGTCTTTTTTCCGGTACTGGGGATCGAACTCACGACCGCCTGCTTGCAAGGCAGGTGCTTATGCCACTGAGCTAAATCCCCAGCCCCATCCTAAGAAAATTAAACACAATCTAAGAGATTTTTCTATAAGGCAACTGACCAGTACTTTTCAAAAATCTCAAGCTCATGAAGACAAGGAACTGTCCACATCAGAGGAGACTAAGGGAAAAAAAAACATTGGTGGAAAAACTGGCAAAATCTAAATAAGAGCTGAGGCTTTTGTGTTAGGTTATTATTTACTAGTTTTTATAAGTGTACCACAGTTATGCAGTACTAGAGAAAATGGAGAAAGCTGAAGAACAAGAGCTCTGTACGGTGTTCGCCACAGCTCTACTGAAGTTCAATTATTTCAAAAAAAAAAAGTTTTTAAGAAGGACTGGATACAAAGGAGTGATTTTTGAATGCTGGAAACATTAGGAACATATGTAGCAAGGGAAAGAAGTGCCATAGTAATGGCCTCAAAACATTCTAGAAGATAGTTATGGGAAGGATCATCACTGTCATCTCACATGTGCAGAACTGGAATGAACAGAGTGAAAGAATTGAATAAGTCCACAATGTCAGAAGCAAGAGAGAAAATGGTCAGTAATTTAGGACTGGAGCTGAGGTAGCATAAGGGAGGAGCTGGAGGTGGAGCCAAGAACGACCCTGATTGGTGACTTGCAAGATCTGGTATTGCTGCGGAGAGGCATGCAGTAGGCCTTCCACAGGCCATTCTGAAGCAGGGGAGGACTGGTGAGGGGAAAATGGAAACAACACAGTGGAGGTTGCCACGGTCAGCTAGCTTAGGGATAAAGGCTGAAGGCAGCCCTAAGGCAAGGGATTTCAAAGTTTGGAGATACATTTGATAGGTTTTGCCTTGAGATGGAACAAAAACAGGTGTGTTGGTTTATTATCTCAGGGAAATCAAAGACATTAGGTCAGAGAAATGGAGACAGAGGCAAGGAGGACTGCCATGAGTTCAAGACCAGCCAGGGTACATAGTGAATTCGAATCTGAATTATATAGTGAACCCTCCCTCAAAACACAAAAACAGAAATAAGAAAAAAAAAAATAATAAGTCATGGCTGAAAATTCCCACAGGCCTCCCCTATAGGGTGCTTTTGGAACTCTTCTTGCCCTTAACTATTACTTAACAGAAACCCATTTACAAGGGACCAACATTGTGGGGTCTACATTGAAGACCCTCTTCTTGCCAACTAGGAAGATTCCCTTTGCTCTTCCCCCACAGATGTCTTGATGCAGAAGACCCTTATAGATACAAGAATTAATGACTGAAATGGGCAGGGAGTGACAGCAGTTCCTGTAGTTATATAATGTGACACATATTTCTGAAAAGTCCAAAAGACAATAGCCAGTCAACCACAGCATCCCAGCTTCATGTTTTGTTGAGATTTTAGCTAATGGTCAGAACAGTTACATATTTCCCACATAAGGTTTCCTCATGCTAGGTGTGGGGGTACTAACAGATGGCATCACTCTCTTGTTCTTAGCCACACCAAAGACAGAACATTCAAGCTGCTTCCAAGGCAGATTAAATAGGATAGGGTTTACTAATCAGAACCACGGGGTGACCTAGTTTCTGTTGGATGCGCACATGAAAAACTCCACTTCCTATATCTTTGTCCTCTGGTTTCATTTTAAAGAAAAGCAGTATCATTCTGGTTTTGTAATATGGTGGCCTGTGAAGTTGATGAGAAGACTACCTTGTATAGCAGTCTTGATAGTTGGCGGATCTGTACCCAGCATTCATAGCTGGAGGTCCTGTCTTAAGAGTGCTTCTTGTCTCAGAAAAGCAATACAGATGGAGATCTTCATATTTATCAATGGCCCCTGCAAATGTCTTCATCAATACAGGCACCAAATCCAGTCTCCCTGGAGTAGCAGGCCAAGTTTTTTCTACATACTTCACAGTACAGACAGGCTAACATTTGCCACTTACAAAGCAAAGGCAAAAATCTATAGAGCCCGGTGACATAGAAGGCATTTCTGTAGGTGGGGAATATCTTTTTACTCAAGACTAACAGAAGAGTGTGCAAATGAAGGACCAAAAAATGTTTTAATTATAAACACAGTTTTTCTTACATCCTTTGAGGAAACTGAAATGAGGCAACTCCCTGAAGAACTGTATAAAAGCACTTGATTCCCTATATTTGAAGTTACCTGAGTATTTGAAATTACACTTCAAGAAAACAAAGGTAATCCAATACAGAAATATACAATCCAGTGCTGCCATTTTGTTTTTAGTTAATAATGACAATACACATGCAAATAATTTTATCGTAACTCTAAAAGAGAAACAAAAAAGGAGCTGGAGATACCAACAATACAAGTAGTTAACTATAAAAGAGTTTAGGTGAAGTTCTCTTCAAAACAAAGATAGAAAAATAGAGGCAAAGTCTAACTCTATGAGACATTCCTGATAACATTTCAGATTATTAACCAGAAAACAAGTGGCAGAAAGGGCTTATGTGAAATAGTTCATTTAGGTGGGCAGCTGAATCATGTTTTACTAAAATTTCTGATGAACTGATATTGTCCATCTCTTAATAAAGTCAGTACTGAATCTTAAATAGAGTTATTGTAAGTCTTATGAAATTGGATTCTTCTGCACTTGATACAGAAGAAAAAGGGCAAGAATTCATTGTTATGAGGTGCTGGATCAGTTTTAATCCACTCCATGTGATGAAATAAGTGAGGTCCTTCCCTTCTGACCCAGGCTATGGAATGCTGCCTTCCCCAACACACTGTAAGAGCAGAAGAATAAGGCAATTGCTCATTTTACTTTGTTTTTATTTCAACATAACATGCAATAAAAAAAATTGACAAAATTTATTAGCATTTACAATGCTCACAAAGAAAAAGGACCTTAAAAGCAATTTAGTTCAGATTTAAGAAAAAGCTCTAAACACTTACAATAAATCTATTTCCAAATGTTCAGTTTAGACCAAAATTTAAGATAGCATTTGTAGATATTTATGTCTGTTGTCTATCTGTATTTTTTATATAACCTCTGATTCTTGGGATATCCAGCCCCCGTTTTCCTAACACAGCAGGGAAGACATATACATGAGGCCACTTAAATTAAAGGAAGAAATGGAGTAGGGAGAACCTAGGCTGCAAAAATATATACAAGCATTTATCTTTTCCAGAACTAAACATTTCTTCCATAAAAATATTAAATAGCCAAGCCCTATAGAACTAGGGCCAGGACTACTTCAAATATAACTATTCTGTATTTTAAAAATATAGGGCAGAAAGCCTTTTGGGTAATATTTATACATTTTCACACAATATTTCTAGGTTCCTAAATGAATCATGAAGCATTATGTGGAACCAAAAGACCTATTAGCTTTTAATTTAATCTTATAAATCTCTAGCAAATGTTATTGGTAACTACATTTCATTATGAGAATTTGCCTCAACTGGATGTATTTATAGAAGGCTTAATCTTCCCAGCCATATATTACCAAAGTTCAGACTTACATAATGAATGGGTAATTGGCAGACATTCGCTCTGTAAGACAAAGCAATAGCATTTTTCTTACCCTACCAACAAAAGGCAGAGAATCCCTACTTTGGAAAGTAGGGCTTTTAGAGATCACACTACATTTCCTAGGGTATGTGTAATAAAAAAACAGCTGAGGAAATCTTAATCTCCCCCTTTACACTGATTAATTTTTGGATGAGGCCAACTTTTACTTACTAAGTCTCTGCTTTATGATGGCAGTGTCAAAGAATACAGTTACAGAAGTTAAAAAATGTTTTGGTTGTTCTAGGATATAAATATAAGAGTAGACGGGTGATGTAAAAACATTCTCTTTCCATGTGAAACAGGGGCCTGCTACTTGCTGTGTATTCTTGGTCTAATGCTACTTGTTCATGCTATGCTATTGCAACATGCCAAGGTCCCTGTTTACATGAGTTATAAGGCTGTCCTCAGGGTTTGGCTATGATAGGGACTCAGCTGGCTTAGGCTTCATCTCACTACCCATAAAGACAAATCTATGATAGCAGCCATCTTGACAATGTATAGTAGGCCAAGTTAAATAAATTAACTCCAAAGAAGACCAAAGTGCATTAATTAGTTACTAAAGGAGCAGTCTTTAAAATAAACTAGTCATGGGGAAATAAAGGAAACCTTTATGGTTTTTAAGGTAAAAAAAAATATTGCAGAAGAGAAATATCAATTCAATTCAGGACAATGAAAATAGAAATGACTACTCCAATATGTGTCAGACAAATAGCAAATCTGAAGATTTTAATTCATACTTTGAATACATTTCTGTGGTTACTAGATATTATCTTCCTTTCTTTTTAGCCAGTACCATAGCTCTTATTCCCAAATGTGATTTCAGAGGCTGTTTCACTGGCCTCTATTTGAACTAGGAAATAATCTAGTTACAACTTGAACTACTTAGCAATAATTAAATACAACTAAAGTCGTTAGACTGTGACAAAATTATAAAGTTTCAATTTATATATAGGATCATACAAAAGTCATCAGTAATAGCCTTAGGCGAATTCAGCTGAATTAATTCCAATTAACTTTTAAAAACATTGAATAGCCACAGTGTTAATATTGTTTACAGTATTGGCAAGGCATTTAAAACAAATTTCCAAATGAGAGGTATGAAGTCATATGCCAGCTGGAACCTACATTTCCCTGAATTCAAAGACAAAATTGCTTTGTAGAGATGTAAGTCTTACATCACTTTCAGGAGTAAGAACAAAATGATTCATGGATTCATGCTCCAGGAAGGAAAACAACAGTCAGGCCAGACTGAAATGAGAAGGAGAGCACAAGCCAGAAGTCTGCTCATGTGCCCAGCTGGGCTAAGCTTGCACTTTTATGAAATACCTCTTAGCAAGAGGCTTAATAGGAAGATCTTGTATATTGCAGTTACTGAAAGACTTCCCTGTATATTTGCAGAATCTCTGAAAGAAAAAATCCTACTTCCAAGAGAGACTTTTGACACACATACAAAATTGTTAAGGAACAATCTAGTGGAATAAGACAATGCAGATTTCATTGCAGTGTTAAATCTCATATTAAGCAAGGCTCTGACTAGCTGTTTGAAGATCTGTTTCTGTAAATGTTGAGTAGAAATCCAGAATCACTGGGAGATAAATTTAATAACATTAATTTACTTACACTTAGATAACTTTCTAAACTGTCACAGTCCCATTTTACAAGATGTGCAACAGGCAGAGAAGGAAAAGGACAAACACTGCAAATAAGTTCTTATCCACTGGTGGTACAGTCTTGGAAGTTACTCTTGTCCAAATCCTTCTGTTTCTTCAATGGCAAACAACAGCTTTTCCTTCAATTGCTCATAGCTCTTGTAGGGTGGAAGGTCCAGGCGGTTAAAACTAGAAGAAAGAATTGCTGGCTTAAGAAAAGGAAATATAAAAAGAAACAAATGGACAGTACAGTACAGCAACAATGGCTTTAAAGCTATGGAAAACTAGGTTTAAATCTCAGTTCTGTTGCTGAGACTTCTCAACTTAATTTCTTCTTGAGTAAAAATGAGATTAACAGTATCTACCTCTCAGGGTAGACTAAGAAGAAACGAACACACAGCACAGTGCCTGACAGTCAGCAGGCCCACAGTAAAATGTTGGTTTTCTTATGCTTCCCCATTCATCTCAATCTAAGTCAATGATCAGTAAACTTAAAAGGACCAAACAGTAAATATGTTAGACCTTGCAGGCCACATGGCCTCTTATCAAAAAGTTTCTAGTATACAATGTTAAGAATTTTTTAAAATTATTTTATCTTCTAGTATTATGCTCCTTTTGTATTTCTAAGCTGTGAATTTTTAAAGGGCATCTTCTGATTTGGGGTCATATCAATGTCATTTCCATAGGGTAACAGATAGGATTTCCCCCCCAAAGTCATGAACCTCTGCCATATGTATAGGACAAGGCCTAGGCAAAGGTTTGGCCACACAGAAAAACTACTATTCATGAAGGGTAAATAAATTTACAATTATGACTTCTATTACTTCTTGCCAATGAAAACATGGAATCTGACAAAGTAGTGAAGCCACTTTTTCATGGATGACTGACATAAGCTTTCACAATACACAAATTACAACACAGCAAAGTCTGTTCCAAGTATGAAAACAAAGCAAGGGAAAATCAAAACAGATACTGTATTTCTCTGAAAAAAATACTGGAAAATAAGCCCTACCATGTTTCAGGAAGCTTATAATATAGCCCTTCACGCCCCCTCCAAAAGCCCCAGCTACCCTCATCAACCGGATGGATGCATTAAGTTGCAATGCACACTGGACATACTGAATTATATTAATATATACTTAACTATAAATCAATATTATTGACATTAATACTTAAATGACAATATAAATTGTAATTATTTGTAAATATTCAAGTGGACGACATGTAAATGCCTGTAAATGTCTATGGAAACAGATGTACTCATAACTTACTGCTGAAGGACCAACTGGATTACATACACAGCACACAGGTAACATGCAGCTGGGCATGGTGGTGCAGACCTGTAATCTAGCACTTGAGAGGGTAAGACAGGAGGACTGCTTGAGGTCAATACAGAGCTCAAGGCCAGTCTGAAACACGTAGTGAGACCCTGCCTCAAAAAAACCCAATCCCAACCCAACCCAACCCAATCCAACCAAACCAAACTACAAATAACATTCACATCTGATAATGAACAGATGTGGTTCTAATATGAATCTCCATAGTTCAATATATCATGTGTTTTACTGGATGTACTTAGTGGGGCTGGGGATTTAGCTCAGCGGCATAAGCACCTGCCTTGCAAGCAGGCAGTCGTGAGTTCGATCCCTGGTACCGATAAAAAAAAAGACAAAAAACAAAAAAAAAAAAAAAACAAAAAAAAAGAAACTGGATGTACTTAGTGCACTTGGGTGAAATAAACATTTTCTGAATTTTGTGTCATATAGTTCAGGCTGTTCTTGAATTCGATATTTCAATTATCTGCTGCTACTGTATGGACCATCATTCTTAACTGCCATTTTTACTGCCACTCCTATCTTGTAAGTCTTCAATTAATACTTGGTTTAATAGAAATTTTGTGAAGCCCAGTTTGCAAGGCACTTCAGCCCAGTCTGAGTGAAGAATTATGGGATAGTATCACTTACAGCTGTGTTATAAGTGCACTATAAGCAGGCTACATGGACAAGAAGTGTTTAGTTAAGGACAGCTCCTATTGTTGGACATGAGAGATTGGGGCCAATGATTCCACAAGACAGGAAGTTATAAGACATTCAGGCAGCAATTTGAAGTTTATAGAGAGTTCATAATCTGAAGAGTTATGATGATTTTCCAGAAGATGATGACATGACTGTATCTCAAAAAATTTCTGTACATGAATAAATGCAGATTGTTGTACATGAAAATATAAGGCACACCCTGAAAATAAGCCTGACTACAAACTTTGGAGCAAAAATTAATATAAGACCCAGGTTTTTTGTTTGTTTGTTTGTTTTGGTATCAGGGATCACACTCACGACCTTGTGCTTACTAGGTAAGTGCCTGAGCCACTGAGCTAAATCCCCAGCCCCAGTTTTATTTTTGGAGAAATATGGTATGTATAAGATAAATGAAAAAACCAAATGTATTTCTATGCACTAGCAATGATTAATCTAAAATGAAAATAAATAATTCCATTTACAATAGCATCAAAAATAAATTTAACAAAAATAGTGTAAGACTTGTTGAAAGCACTGACTGTTAAAGATTTGAGTGGAAAGATATCCCATGTTCATGGACCAGAAGACACTACTATCTATCTATCTATCTATCTATTTATTTATTTATTTAGAGACAGGTCTCTCCACATAGTTCAGGTTGTTCTTGAGCTCAATATGTAGCCACACTGGCCTCAAGCCTCCTGAGTGCTAGCAAAACAGGCCTATACTACTATAATTGGCAAGACTTTATCCTGTTAAAATGACAAGGTACACCTAACCCATCCACTGATGCCAAACAATTCATATCAAAACCCCAGCTGAAATCTTTGCGGAAATGGATCCTAATATGCAAATCCAAAGGATCCCCAATAGCTTAAAAAAGCTAGAAGACACATAACTCTGAATTTTAGAACTTTCTACAAAGCTACAATGTCAAGGTAATAAGATATTGCCATTAGAACAGACATAGAAATCAATACGGTAGAATCAAGAATACACACATTAATCAATATACTATTTACATATAACTAATTTACAATCAGGATGCTAAGACCATTAAATGGAGGAAAGAATAGTTCATTTAGTAAGTTATATTAAGACAAATGGATTATTTATGAGAAAAAGATGAAAGACCTCCCAACTCACACCTTACACACACAAAAAAAGTCTCATAGTGGATTACAGATCTAAATGTTAAGAGTTAAAACTATATATATATATTGGGGATTTCTTTTTTGTTTTTGGTACACAGAATTGAACTCAGGACCTTGCTAGGCAGGCGCTTCTGCCTCTGAGTTACATCCCCGGCCATGAAACTAAAATTTTAAAAAAGAAACCATAAATCTTTGTGAATTTTGGTTAAACCAACAGCTTCCTGAATGGATACCAAATGCACAAACAGCAAAAGAAACAGAATATACTGAATTTAATCAAATGTTAACTTTTCTACTTCAAAAGATCAAGAAAGTTAAAGGACAACTCACAAAATGGGAGAAAGTATTTGCAAATCACTGAACTATGAATTTTTTTTTTTTAAGTTGTTAAGCCAAAAAACTTTTAAGGCTTAACAACTTAAAAAAAAAAAAAAAAAAAGGGCCAGGTGTGGGGTACATTCTTGTAATCCCAGCACTCAGGAGGCTGAGGCAAGAGGATCACTGCAAATTCAAGACCAGCCTTAGCTAATAAAGTGAGCTCAAGGGCAGCCTGAACTGCATAATGAGGCCCTGTCTCAAAAAAAAAAAAAGTGAATGATCACAGTAGATATTTATCCAAAGAGAACATACAAACAGCGGGGAAAAATTTTCAAAATCACTAATGGTCAGGGAAATGCAAATCAAAATCACAATGACATATTATCGTACCCCAGTTAGAATGGGCATTATCAAAAAGGTAAAAAACAAGTGTTGGTGAAGATGTGGAAAAAGGAGAACTTTCATGTTTATTAGTAAATTAGCACAGCCATTATGGAAAACAAAATGAAGGATCCTCAAAAAGCTATAATAAAAACTACTGATATATGAACCAGCAATACTACCAGTGGTACATATCCAAAGAACTAAAATCAAAGAGACAGATTTTGCATGTTTATTTCAGCACTATTCACAATAGCCAAGATATAGAATCAAACTAGGTGTCCATCAATAGATGAGTGGCAAAGAAAATATGAAATATAAACATAAATAAAATCATTATTTGCAGCAATGGAAAAGAACTAGAAGGCATATTAAATGAGATATACCACATATCAAGACAAATACATCATGTACTCACTTATATGTGGAAGCAAAAAAGTAGATCTCAAACTAGAGAATAGAACAGTGGTTAACAGAGACTTGAATATGAGATGGTTGTCAACAGGGATGAAAGTGGATTAAGAGGAATAACTATGTTCAATAGCACAGTAAGCTAACTATGGTTGATGTGATGTTTTTAAAAAACTTACTACAGTAAAAGACAAGAATAATGGGTTAAGCGTGTTCAAAGGGGGAGGGATTACGTTGAGGAGAGGGCTAATAGTAATGTGTCTTTTATGGTAATAAATTCTTTTAACGATTAACAATAGTTTTTGGTTTCCCTTCACTGATCAAACATTTATTTATGGTAACTGCAGTCAGATACATTATGGTGCCAGCAATATAGCTCAGCAGGAGAGCACCTGCCCGGCAAGCTCAAGCCTGAGTTTGATTCCTGGTACCAAAAGAAAAGAAAAGAAAAAATGATTATGGTGTGTTCCTATCCACCTTATTTACTGGACCTAGGATTGTACCATTTCAGGCTTTTCCTCAAAATCAAAATGAGTATGAAAATTAAAAATTTTGAATAGTCAGGACATTGTGGCAGCCATGACAGAGCAAATAAAGACACAAAAGAGGGCTACTGAGCTGAGAATGTAGCTCAGCGGTACAGTGCTTGCCTAGGATGAACAAGGGCCTGAGTTCAATCCCTAGTACCATCAAAACAAAAACAAAACAGGGCACCTAGCTGCTTCACAATATAGCAAGAATGATGGGATTAGTCTGTACATGTGAGGAGGGAGCTTAGGGAGATTAATGGCAATATAATATGGTCTTTTACTAAAACAAGTTTTAAAAATTTAAACATTCACCATAGTTTCTGATCACATCTCACATTCCAAATTACTAAATTGCATACTTTAAGCAGATGAACTCTGTGGTATTTGAATTATTCATACACATCAGTAAGTTTATTAACACTGTGTGTATGTGTATTAAAACATAAAGGAACAGAAAAAAAAGAGACCATTTGTGGACCAGGGGTAGAGAGAACAATGCCACACCAGCAAGCAAGCCCAGTCTGGGACCCACCACCATACCTGGGCACCACCAGACTGAAACAGCTGACTCTAGCCCCTTCCCACATGTGGGCTGGCAAACAAGAAGTACCAGTTCCCTCTGCCATCATAAGCAATTGGCTTATCTGGAGAAACACAGGCTATGTTGATAGCTACGGAGGTGAAATGCAATTGGATGCCTGTGGTGCTTTGGTGTTTCACTAACATTGCAGGTCTAGGGCCACTGGTCTGATCACAGGTTCAGAGGATAGTGGTAGGCAGTGTGACATCTAGGGGGATCTCCTTCTGAGTGTTGCAGCCATTGTTGATTCCCTATGGTACTGTTTTATAAGTCCTGTATCATTTCCATTGTTTTTTTGGGTTGGGTTTTATTCTCTTGTCTTGTTGATGGCAGGAGCAGCTGTTTCAAAGACAGCAAGATATATTATGGTAGCAATTTTAGATTTACTATTGGCTTGTTTTGAAGTCCTTTATTGTATTCATTGTTTTGTTTTTTATTGTTTCTGTTCTGTTTAATTTTTACTATGTCCAAAGTTATCTGCAGCTATGTTGAAGACATCAAAAGACATTATGGTAACTACTAGTGATTTTTTAATGTTTTGAAGTCCTACATCCCTTACACTGGTTTGTTTTGACTGGTTTTATTCTGTTTTATCATCTTTAAAATAAAAACAAAAAAACTTTAAAAAAAAAAACAAAGAAAATAAAACAGCATGACAGTTGGAGAAAATAAAGGACTATTTTGCAAGATCAATACGTGATTACTACATATATATCCCACAAAATAAAATTTTAATTGCTGACATTAAGTAGAATTTCACCGTACGGTAGCTGAGGTAAAAATTAGTGGGCTTTTAGTTTAGTACAATTTTGGAAATGCGCTAAATCTACATTTAAAATGAGAAAATATTTTTGGTCTTTATGTGCATTGTTCTTCTGGTATGAAAAAACCAGAAGTGTAAATAAGAACCAAAATGTGTAATAAGTATTGTGAAATAGAAAGACAATGTTCAAATAGGGAGGGGGACAAAAAGGGAAGGGGAAAAGGAAAGAAGGGAATAGTTTTAAAAAAAACAAAATGAGAAAAAAATGGAAAACATTGAAACAAAGCTTTTGTAAATCAGGAGGGAAGGAAAGACTGCAGTGAGAGTAGGACATGAGAAAAAAATTGTATTATCTACAGGTATAAATTCTCTATGATGAATGTAATCATTATGTGTATCTAAAATGTACCAATAAAATCTGATTTTAAAAAGGTGGGGTGGAGGTAAAGAAGGAAGTTAAAGCTCTGTCTGTGAACAAGCTACAGCATGGATCAGGAAGAACCAGGATAGAAGCTAAGCCTCCAGCCAGTTGGCAGGTGGGCTGGAGAGAGAAGAGCAGCCCTCTTCACTCCCATGAACAACCAGCTCATCTGGAGGAACTGTATTGTTTGATTGATTTTGATCAGCCTGAACTGAGCAACTATTTAGAAGACAACAATATGCAATATGGTAACTATTATCGACTTCCTGTCTTATCACTTCATTGATTAGTTTTGTTTCCTCTAAAAATTAAAAAAAAAAAAAAAGAATTACACACTGTCATGGTTGATATACTGTGTCAACTTGAGTTTAGAAGTTTAACTAAAAGACTCAGCAGGAAGCCAGGATCCTTACTTTATAAATATCCTCATCCTGTGCAAGAGAGCAGAGATTTTGTGCGCCCTACATCTGCCCTGGGGGCAAGGTGGTGGTGGTGATGGTCTGCATAACTGTAAGGGAGGAAAAGAGGCTTGCTCTTCCTCAGTGTTATGCTGGCTGCTTTTGCTCTAGCTGTTGCTCTGAAGGTTGCCCCAGAGCCATGCACCCTATCTTGGAGCCAGCTAATTGTGGACTGAAACCTCCACAGTGAGTTAAATAAAACTTTCCTGCCTTTATTTTGTGCATTGGGTGGTTTTGTCCCAGCAACCAGAATAAAAGTAACTAAGACACACACACCCTCAAAAACAAACAAAACAAACAAACAAACACAACCCCCCTACGAAAACAAACAAACAAATAACAACTACAAAAACAGAAAGAAAGTAGGTTCTCCAAATTTCCTGCCTTCAGATACAAACATAAAGTTTCTAAATTCCATATTTAAAAATATTTCAGGAGTATGCCAAAGGATTGATTGCAAATGTACATTTTGGAGTGAAGGAAATACTCTAAAATTGGACTGTGGTGATGCCTATAGTATTCTGTTAAATTTAAGTATCAGCTGGGTGTGGTGGCAAAAATTAAAACAGGAAAAAAGAGGAGAGGAGAGAAGGCCCGGAGATGCAGCTCTATACAAAGTTCCCTGGTCCAATCCCAGTATTGGACACACATACCCCTAATTATATCTCAATAAAGTTGTTGAACAAATTCAGTAACATTGGGAGAAAGCTTTTCATTTATAATCTTACATATTTGAATTGCTCTAGCTAGCCTGATTTTGCTTACCAGGTATGACTTCTGGGTAACCAATTTTCCTTCCCAACTTTTTCAATGCAGAATTTCTGTGGTCCATTGCTCCCTAAAACATAAGAAAACCATAAAGTTTGCTGGTTCCAAAGTTCTCAAATTGTGCTCTTCATTGCAGCAGCATCACCAGGTTAGAACCACAAATCCACAAGCCTTACATCAAGGCACAGCTACTCAATCTGAAACTCTAGGAGAAGGGCTCTTCAGTATGTTTTAGCAGGCTTCCAATGACTCTGAGGAATGCTCAAGTTTGAGAAGCACATTGTTAATGTAGGCCCAAGAAGAGAAAATGGATTTTTATTTGTCATTCCTTAGGGAGAATAACACAAATGACATCAAAAAACTTATTTTTATTAGTTTTACTACACTACAGAAATACCATCTACTACCTTATGTAAGAAAACTTGGTTTAAATAGTTAACATTTAATGAAATGTAAACACTATAGTGAATTCAATTATTAACAGTGCTTATGCTGACAGGTTCTGTAAAGCATACCTATATATAAACACATTAATTCTTGGTTCTTCTCAAAAACAAAAACAGTGGGGTGGGGATGTAGCCCAGTGGCAGAGTGTTTGCTTGCCTAGCCTGCACAAGGTCCTGAGTTCAATCTCTTAAGTATCATAAAAATAAAAAAATCTTGGCTTCTTTTTTTACCTCTGTGAGAGACAGCAGTCAGTGATGATTACAAAGCATGAGTTTTAATAAAAGACTACTTCTCCCTAGAAAGTATTTATTGGTGGTCAAATGACTGACAGTGCTACTGGGCTTTTTATTTAGAAATAAGCAGGCACAAACTGGGCATGGTGGCACACTTCTAATTTCAACTACTTGGGAAGATGAGGCAGAAGGATTCCAACCTTTAAGATCAGCCTGGGAAGCTTAGGGACACCCTGTCTCTAAATAAAATACAACGGACCAGGGCTGTAACTCAGTAGTATAAACCTTGCATAACATGTATAAGGCCCTGGGGTTGAACCCTATTACCACTAAAACAAACAAAAATGTGGCAAGATACACTAAATTTTCTCTTTTCACCTAAGTCCAGGTCAAATATAAATTGGTAGTACTACTTTGTATTTAGTAACAATTATTTTCACAATTAGTTGTTAAAAGTCCAGTAATATAAGGAAATCAGTCATTTTGAAAAAGAATGGTTAAAATACTTCTACAGAATTAAACATGTACATCAAAATTTTAAAAGATCTTAATCTGGATGTCTCTTTACTCAGTACATCACCGCATTTCAACTACATAGATGAAAAGCTCAGAAGTGCTAATTAAGATGTAATAGAGAAGATTATGAGTCACTTTTAATATATGTAGAATCAAATATTAAAATAGGTGTGGTGATGCATTCCTGTAATTTCAGCTCCTCCGGAGGTTGAGGCCACATTCGAGGCCAGCTTGGTCAATTTAGCAAAAACATGTCTCAATACAGCATTACAAAAACAAAATAAAGAGCTCAGTGGCCCTGGATTTGACCCCTAGTACTAAAAACAGCAATCAGTCAGGGCCTCATGCATGCTATGCTAGGCCAAGTACTCTACACTCCCAGCATGACACTATACCGCACACCCTTCTTTGGAGACAAAGAGTCTTGCTCAGTAGTTCAGGCTGATCTTGAATTCACTTTGTAGCTCATGCAGGCCTCAAACTTGCAGCAGTCCTCCTGCCCCAGCCCCTGAGTGCTGGGATTATAGGCATGCGCCACCAAGCCCACTCCACTTTTAAGTAAGATCCACAGGTTGGCCTCAAACACTGCCACTGAAATATCTCTCTAGAATTTTTGAGACAAAGTTCTGCTAAATTGCTTAGGCTGGCCCTGAATATATGATCTATCTCAGATTCCCAAGTAGTTGGAATTACAGGTGTGTGACACCATACCTGGCTAGGTTATTTCTTTTCATTATCATACATACTTAAATATATTATTTCTTACTCTTTCTGAATGGTCTTTCATTTTGGAGTTTTTCTTATACAAAATAACTTTTAACTGTCTTTTAAACTCAAACCTTATAAGTGGAAACAAATTTATCTTATTTATATTTTCTAACATAGTTGTTCACAAACATTCATGTACTGAAATTTGTACTTCTTTTAAATCACTTAAAAATTTCCCTTTTATATTTGAGTATCATAACGCATATTTTCGAGCCTATAGCTATTATTTACTGATTTCATTTAAAAATAATCAATCACAAGTACTTGTTAATAAAAATGAGATACTGGATCTGATAAAATCAAGAATCGCCTCCTCCTACACTGGGCTGAAATTTACATTCAGTGGCCTCTAAAATTCTATGAACCACAATCTTATCATTTCTCTTTTCCAGGGATTCCTTCTGTGTTGTTTTACCCAGCCCTGCCCAATTCCAATATTATTCCCTAGAACAGACCTAGATCTTTGATAAATGATCAGAGTTTCAGTTTATACTGAGCAGCCTATACCAACTTTGTTTTCCCCTTTCACCCCTAATCCTCTATATGGTTTCTCTCCCTCAAACTAGAATGTCTTCTCAAAGGTCCTTTGCCTCTAGCTTTCTTAGAAATCATCCTTCTGTAGTCTTGGATTAAAAAACAAAAACAAAAACAAAACAACTTTCTTTCTCTATTGCTTCTGAGACTATACTATTACATTCTCTTTAACTTGCTAGTCTTTCCTTTAAAGTAGATTTTTGGAGTTTTGTGTTGTTATGGTAGCACTCTACTGGGGACTGAACACAGGTGCTAAACATTGAACTACATTCCCAGGCTTTTTTTGCAAATTGTAAAATAGAGGTCTCCTAAATTTGCACAAACTGGGCTTGGCTAATCCTCTCGCTTCAGCCTCCGAGAGTGCAGGATTATTGGGCAGCGCCATTGGGCCCAACTTACTTTTACTCTTTCTATTTCCATTTCTATCTGCTAAGATCAGGTTCTCATTATTACTGCATTAATTTCTTCCTACCTACAGATTTTCTCTATTATTTTGTTTTGTTTGAGACAAGGTCTCTCTATGTAATAAATAGGGTGACCTCAAATTTATGGAATCCTCCTGCCTCAGCCTCTGTGTTGGAATTACGGGCACGCTCTCTAGATTTTAATACAGCTAATATCATGCCATCAAATCTTTCTAAAATGCAGCTTCAGCAAGTTAGTTGTCCTCTCTTCAGAAAGAACTCAATATCCTTAAGGTAATACCCACATTATTTTGGTGTGCCTTTAAAGTCTTTATTAAACTCGCTCCATACTCTTATATAATCACTTTCTTACTTCTGTAATTCTGACTCCATTCCATTCAGCTAAAACAATCTTTAAGGTCACAACTTCTCTATGTATCCTCCTATGGTACACAGCTTTTATCTTGTTTTTTTATTTTCCTTTTTTTTTTTTTTTTTTTTGGTATCACTGATCTAAATCTTTTTTTTTTTTTTAAATTTTTTTTGTTTGAGACAGTCTTGTCATGTAGTTCATGCTTGTCTTGCATGCACAGCAATCTTCCTTCCTCAGTCTCCTGAGTGCAGGGATTACAGATGTGTGGCACCATACCCAGGCTTACATCTTAAAATATAGTACAACATAATCAATATAATTAGTGTTTGCCTCAGAAACACTAAAATGTTTGCAAAATGGCTGAACAAAAAGATTTATATACAAAAAAGAAGTCTGTTATCCTACTAAGTTAAACTGTGCTGTTTATCTTGTGGACTAAAAAGTTTTACAGAGGCAAGGACTACAAAGTGATTTAAAAGTTTACATAAACCCAGATTAGCTGCCTACTTGAGAAAATGGCTAGACTTTATTATTATTGCTAATCTGTATATACATTTATCTCACAGCAATGTGATAAACAATTTTCTATATAGAAAAAAGCACCCTGTGTATACATACCCATGAGGTCAGCAAATCCTCCTACTGGCAATCGGCAGGTTCCAGTAACAAACTGCAGAAGTCTCATTCTCTTCTCATTATCAATTTCTTTAACAAACTGTTAAAATCACATTAAAAGTGATATGAAGATTATATGTTACAATCAGCTTACTGAACAAGAAAGAAAAATGATTTCAACCTTTAAATAAACCCCTGGTGTCACCTGCATTAATACATTTACATTACATTACATTACATTATATTACATTACATTACAATACATTGTGGATGGGGGAGCATTTCTTGAGTTTTGTCAAGTTCCTACCAACCCTTGCCCTACATAAATTTTAGGGTAACATCTTTAAAGAGAAAGGTTCCATGGGCATAAGAAATTCTTAGGCACTTCTTGAAGATCTGTTCTTCTATTTAAACCTGGCTGTCCTATTGAGGACATACGTGTGGTTACACAGTTTGAGTATATACAATCTTTTTGGTTTTAGAACAAATGAAATCAAGCTCACAAAATTCTGTTTCAAATACAACCAAAAATCTTTCCTCAATGTCCTTTAGGTATTGGTTGAAGCTCTATATAGGCATAATTGTGCAGCTTTTTTCTCCTATACTCAACTCAAAGCACTAGATTTTTGGAGGTAATTTCTAACCAGCTGAGACAAATTTTTTTTGGTAAAGAATAACTTCTTTTCTGTTTTATTACTGAAAATTATTTTAAAGTGCTAAACTAACTGTTGCAGCTCAGTTCACTTCTTGAATTTCTCACATGAATTTCTTCATATCTATATTGAACTTTTTTTTTCAGTACTGCAAATCCAACTCAGGACCTTGTACTTGGCCAGGCAGGTGCTATCCCACTGAGCTATATCGCCTGCCCCTCTATATCGAATTTCTAAAATATTATGGTAGAATATACCTAACGTAAAACTTACCAATAATTTTAAGTGCATAATTCAATGGCATTAAATACACACTGATGTATAACCATCATTTGTATGTTCAGAACTACTATATTATCTTAAATAAAACTATGTGCATGATAAATATAATGTCCCAAGCATACTCCCTAAGTCCTCTAGTAAGCTGCATTTTAGTTTTATTAATTTGTTGATTCTAGGGGCCGGGGATTTAGCTCAGCAGCATAAGCACCCACCTAGCAAGTGTGAGGTTTTGAGTTTGATCCCCTGTACCAAAACAAAACAAAACAAAAATTTTCCATTCTAGGAGGCTCATAGAAGTGGAAGAATATTGCCTTTTATAGCTATCTTTTAAAACAGGGTCTATCTTTGTAGTCCAGGCTGGCCTCAAACTCACAGTGATCCTCCTGCTGCAGCCTCATGAGTACTGGGATTACTAGGATGTGTTCCCAAACCTGGCTAGTTATTTCATTTATTTGAAAAGTCACAATGTTTTTGTTTGTTTCTTTTTCAGTCAATGTCTTGCTATGTAGTTCCAGCTGTTCTTGAATTCTCAGCAATCCTCCTGCATTAGCCTCTCAAGTTCTGCAATCACAGGCATGTGCCATCACACTCAGCTGTTCATAATTTCTTGAATATTTTGTGTGTGTGTGTGATACTGGAGATAGAACCGAGTGCTTTTGTGTACCAGGCAGGTGCTCTACCACTGAGCTACACCTCCACACCAAAATTTATGCCTTTTTTTTTTTTTTTGTGGAGACAGGGTCTTACTTTATAGAGTAGGCTGACCTTAATTCACAGCAGACCTCCTGCCTCAGCCTCCTGGGTACTGGGACTACAGACATGCCATCACACCCAGCTAAAATTTAGATCTTAAGATTCCCTTGTATTGCAACATTTATCAAAAATTTCATTTCTTAGAAAATACAGAAAAATAGAAATAAAATACCTCCTGTGGTTTTGATTTGCATTTTCTTAGTGACTAATGATTTTGATTTTTTATGGTTTTTTTTAATAGATACCATTGTGATTCCAAACAAGGGTTTTGAATTTTGCCACTTGCATATTACATAGTTCTTAATTGTACAATTACAATTGTTAAAAGCCTTATTGACAGCTGCATAAAATTCCAAAAGCATTTAAATCAAATGTAGATGAATATTCTGGAATTGTCTTTTACTCTGGCCAAAGCTGAAAGACCTGTGTTCCTTACTTATTAATAAGTCTTAAAAGCATGCTGTTAAATCCAATACTTATTTATTACAATGCATAGAATGAAGGGGGGACCAGGTTATATTGCTCAGCAGCATAGCAGCTGCCTGGTAAGTGTGAGGTTGTGAGTTTGATCACTCATACCAAAACAAAACAAAAGAGCAGACTGAAGGGTCTACACACACTGATGCACTTTATCCAGTGGTAAATTCTAAAAACTTATGTTGTATCTACCAATAGAAATAAACTTAGAAACAAACCTGCCAAAACCATATGATTTGTTTGCTTGTCCTAGTATAATGACGATAGATGGCATGTCTTTGCCAGTCATTCAAATCAATTTCTTGCATGCCACATAAAAGGACCTTTAGAAATGGGAAAAAAAAAAATTTACGTAACTACAAAAAATTATTATTAGATAAGAAAAGACACTAAACATAGCTTTAAGTTATTAATTAGTAACCTGCAGCTTTTAACTATACATCAAGAATTGTTTTTACATTAAGATGGGTTTCCACATATGGTGTCACGCATACATTGAGGAAATAGGTCATTCAATTGTCTTTTTGTGGGGGGATAGGGTCTCGCCTGGAACTCATGACGACCCTCCGACCTCAGCCTCCTGAGTGCTAGGATTATAATCATGTGCCATCACGCCTGGCTAGGTAGGTAGGTAAAGTGAGTCTTAATAGTACTACTCTTTCTGTTTTTTTAATCTTGGATAACTTATGGTTTTCTTTAACCATTAAGGATACTTCAAAATATCTTACAAGCATAAAAACTACTGTCATTGGAAAGATGAGAAAGTAGATACCTGCAGACATTTAGTAGAATGCTGTACAGAATAATGGAAAACGGATTACCTCTAATTCCTTTGCATCAAAGTACTGCAAATACTGCTGCGGAAGAATTTCATTAAAACCTTCAAAGAAAGCTTGTGTCTGTTCTTCAACACCTCGAGACAATCTCCACTCAGCTACCATTCTGGCAAGTAAATATGAAAAAAACTATCAGGATATTTAAATTTTACCTTTAAATTCTGAATATAAAATTTAAGAATTTTAAACTTTATTACGAAAAACCTGAAAACACAAGAGAAGAATAAACCCCTCTGTACACAATGTCTAAGTTTCATCTCAATGCTAACCTTATGCCCAACTCATATCCTATTTTTCCCCAATCCATTCTATTTCAATGAGAAAAAAAAAAGTGAAACAAAATTGTAAACACATCAATCAGAGGACAACAATATACATACATCGTATACTGTCATGCCCAAATCAATCAGCCAGAGCACAAGACATTTGTATTCAACTGTTTGAATGATGTCTGCACAAATCTTCCTCTTCAGTGAACTCAGAGAAATCCATTTCATATACTAAATATAATTTCATTTTTTAAAAACATACCAGGTTGCTAGTAGTTACCTTCTGCCTGCCATGAACTGTTTCTCCTCCGCAATGCCACTGCCCTGCTGCCCTGCCTTAACCAGCCAACTATGAACTGAAACCTCTCCATACAGAATACAAAACTTCAAATACACACTTCAAAAGAGTAACCACAAAAAACCAGTAGTCAACTGTGTTATTATAAAGAAAATCTGTTAATGCTACATGAAAAATGTCTAAATGTGATTCCATACAAGTGTAGTGTGTCATTGCTAGCTGATGCTCTTGGAAAACTCCAGGATACTCAAGAGCCAGGCACAGTCAGACCATGCCCCACTTTGTTATCTGGGAAATATATCTGGGATGTAGACTTGGATTCCAGAACTCAGAGCAGTCAAGAATTTTCCGGGGGGAGGGAGGAGAGGAACAGAAGTAAGTTTACAGTCAGAAGTTCCAGCATCTGAACAACTTTTATCAACTATATATAAAGAATGGTTCAAGAAAAACCCACTGAGACAGGCATGGTGGTGCACTCCTGTAATCCCAGCAGTTGGGAGGTGGAGGCAAGAAGACTGCCGTGAGTTAGAGGCCAGCCTGGGCTACCTACTGAGTTCAAGGCTAGTCTAAAATATATAGAGAAACCTTATCCCTCAAAAACAAAACAAAACAATACAAAAGCAAAAAAGAAAGATACACTACAGTGTTTTTTGGATGACACCAACATGAATTTTTGGCTAGACACCTGACTTTGATATTGTAATTGGGGACATAACAGGACTCCTAGAAAGACAGACCCATCACTTTATCCTTGGAACTGCTGAATGCAGCTTATCCAAACTCATGAGCTTTCCTGTAGCTTATGCCATCACTTAATGGATGTTGCTTTAGAAAAAACAGATATACAGATGTTACAGCTCTGTCTGCATCAGTATCCCAACATTGCTGAGCCTGTCTCATGCACTTGCTGACAAATTTTCTTGAGCACTGGTGATGACAGTCTTCAAGGAATTAATAGTAGAGTCAGTTTTTACTATAGTAATATTGAACAAGAAGAGAAAAATAGAACAACCTGAAATTCACCACAATGTTTTCAATCCTTAAGACAGTAACCACAGTAACTGTAATCAGGAATTAAATGAAGAGTCTCAGAATTCAATAGAAAAGCCAGCCTTGGTGCCCGGTGATACTCAAAAGAACAACTCTACTAAATAGCATTATTTATTCAACATACAGTGAGATGCTTCTTCTGCCTCCCTAGATGGATATCCCCACACATATCCAGTATTTGTACTACATTTATCTTTGTTTCTCTGGTGTGAGAATCGGAAAGTGTAAATAAGGACCAAAATGTATAACAGGTATTGTGAAATAGGAAGAAAATGTTCAAATGGGAAGAGGAACTATGGAAGTAGGAAGAAAAGGAAGGGAGAGGAAAGGAAAAAATGAAAACAAAGCTTTTGTAAATAGGGAAGTAAAGACACGTTGAAGAGAGGGGACAGAAACGGGAAAAAAGAATCAAGATATATCATATACAAGTACAAATTCCCTATGACGAATGTGATAAATTCTGTATACCTAAAATGTACCAATAAACTTAAGTGAAAAAGAAAATGTGGTGTTTATAAATAAATACGTACATAAATGGGTACCTTAAGTCTTTAAAGTAGCATGCAAGGGGAATGAAGCATAGAGAATATCCAAAATTTTCCAACAACTGACAAAATGGTATCACATTAACAATCTCAGAAATTACTAGAAGAAATATAAATTGACAACTAGTTACATCAAAAACCGAAATCCAAATCTTTTGAAAGTCATACATTTAATTCAGAAAAACAACAAAAATAATGGCCCACAGCATCAAGAACAATAGTGGTTAAACAATGGAATGACAAGCCAGGTTTGGTGGCACATGCCTATAATCCTAGCACTTAGGAGACTGAGACAAGAGGTCATGAGTTTAAAACCAGCCTAAATTAAGTAGTGAGACCCTAGAAAGAAGGAAAGAAGGAATAAGAGGAGAAGAAGAAGAGGAAGAGGAGGAGAAGGGCAAGGGGAGGGGGTAGGGGGAGGAAGAGGGTGTGGGAGGGGAGGAAGAGAAAGAAAGGCAGGGGGATGGGAGGGGGGAGGAAGAGGGGAGAGAAAGTAAGTTTTAAAAGGATATTTTAAATGAACTCCTTTTTTAAAGGGATAGATTTATCAACAAGTATATTAATAGTCCTAGGTAATTAAACTCAGCACCTCATGCTTGCCAAGGCAGGCACTATGCTAGTGAGCTATATCCCCAGCCCTAAGTGTATGAATAGTCAAAACTGCAATTTTAATTATGAAAGGAAAATCAGGCCAAAGATACAGAAACTTGAACTTAAGAAGAAGTAGAAGCAGATACAGTGAAGCACACTTATAATCTCAGCTACTCAGCGCACTGAGGAGTTGGATCAGAAGTTCAAGACCAATGTGAGTGACGTGGCAAGACTCTTATTTCAAAATAAAATTAAAAAGGACTGCAAAGTAGCTCAATGGTATAGCATTTGCCTGGCATGCACAAAGTTTAATTCCTAGTACCATGAAACAAAACAAAACACCTGAAACTAACAACAGAAACAATAGCAGATATGCTAAATTTTTCACTGGACAAAACTGGTGTTGAGAAGATATGAATGAATTAATACAGCTATCCATATAAACCAAGGCAAAGCATTACAGAGGCTATACCATAAACCAGTGTTTTACTTACAAATTTTGTCACATCTTACAATATTCCCCATGAAAATATCTGGGTATAAAGTTGAGATGCTTTTCAATGGCACATTATAAGGCATAGTGGTCACACAATTGGTATTCAAAAGGATGATCCAACATCACTTCTAGTCTTTAAAAAACTCCCACTTTGGAGGAGCAATGAGAAATAATAGCCTATGCAGAATAATGCTTATAACAAAGGCAAATACTATCCATTACCATTACCAGACAATTGTCAACAGAAAGGCTGAACTATGTCAACTGGAATATTCTCTCTCACCTGATGTATTCCTCTTTGTTTTCTTCTGTTACAAGAATATTGCCACCATTGGGTTTTAAATCATGACTTTTAATTTCACCTAGTATTTCTTTATCAACAGAGAAGTACATTTCCAAACCACATTCCTCAATATTGTTTTCTCTGCATAAAAAAAAATAGTACTATTTGTTATATCCATTAGTCCAATCTTAATTTGAAAGCTTAACTTTGGTCTTCAGTCTTAAATAATTAACATTAAGCTTTAACATTAAAAGAAGAAATTAGATTATGCTCTAAAGTCACCACTATATTAACTTATCCCTGAGGTCTTGGGCCGTGGTGATGAACTTATGACACACATGCTGTAGCAGGCACAGAGTCCACTCTGTTGGCACTTGAGTCAAGTAAGCATTGGATATGTTTGTTTTTTCTAAACTAAAATCTCAATATTCAGATTTGATTACACTGTTGGCACTTTGCAATAAATAAGTGGGTTCTGTGTTGCAGCTTGGGCCCTCAGTCTGTAAAAGGTTCACCATTACTGGTCTAGGGAGTACTCTTCTAAAATTTATCACACTGAACAATTAGACAGGTCTGATGCACAGATCACTTAAATTCCATATATGCATTACAGGCTAATGGTTTATTTAAGTTACTAATACCATAACAAAACCATATAGATTAGTATTTTAATAAATGTAAAAAGAAACCTACTTCACCCAGATGAGAGAATTGTAAAATTCTGGATCAATAGATTCTAAATCCTTAAGTCCAACTTGTTTGTTCAGAATACGTTTGTAGAAGGGTAAAGAAAAACCTGTGTCTATGAATTTCCCATGGAAAAGAGCCTATATAAAAAGAGAAACAAAAGTCCATTTTAGATAACAATAAAAGTCATTACACGTCAAAACTTAGGTGAATTCTTTACTAAATAAAACTCCCATCATATCATCTGTTATGACATATACAAGAAAAATTAGTACTGTTAAATTAACAAAGTAAAAGCACAGTTTTATACACTTACCATGGCGATAAATCTTCCAATAAAACGAAAATATTTCAGGTGATCTGGATTGATGTAAGAAGCGGGGTTTATCTGTAAGCAGTAGTTATCCTTCCCTGCATATTCAAACAGGCAATACATTGGGTTCAACACTTCATGTGACAAAAGAAAGAACCATTCTCTGAAATCAAAAGAAAACTCAAGATGAAGAATTTTCTAAGTAACTATGACAACAAATCAAAGAGGAGTGCTATGAAGTTCTCTGGACTCATGCCTTCACTGAAAATAGTTTTCTAACCTGTTGATTTTTTCTTGCTTCTGTTAAAAAAAAACATCTATTTTACAGAGATGTTTTAATATACTGCTTATTTCAAAGAATCTAAGGCATGACTAATTTTAATGACAACTTTAATGAACCACTAAAATTTTTCCCAATTTTTACCAACATATCACAATTTTGGAGGCATCAAAATGCAAAACTGTTAAGTCTAAGAATTGGTGAATAGTGTAAAAAAGCAAGTTTACAATTCACTATTAACTCAGGTGATTCGAAGAGCTAAAATGCATCAAACATTCCACAGTGATCCACAATGAACTTCAAAGAGTGCTACTTCTCCCTGCAACTTAGATGAATATAAAAATCTTCCAACTTCTGATATAGTATAGCAAGCATTAAATGTTAGCTGCTCAAGTATTAGAAAAACTATCTGAGAAGTTTTAATTTAAGTGCTCAAAAGTACCAACCCATCTAAACATAGATTATGGTTACAAACTACATAATGGGGTAGATTCTGGTAAAACACACAAAAGGCAACAATTGTAGTATCCATTGTATCCTACACTTGCCTTCCTGTTAGTTTGTGAACCCTGATGATAATGTTTCTTATACTTCTATATTGTTAGTTGATTAATATTGCAAATTGCTCAATATTAAGATTGAGAAAATAATACTTGCAAACAAAGTCCAATGATACCTTTGAAGGAAAGGAACTACGTTCTTAGTATTTCTATTATTCTCCTGAACTACTTTTAATTTGCATAAAATTAAAATATTCCTACTCGTATGTATTACTTGTCTGTGAGATAGTTTTATTGGAAATTTGCTACATGATATAAAGAACTAAGACTAGAATATAGCCACCAGCTAGTGATCACAAAGAATGAGGTTGTGAATCAGGTTACTAAAAATCAGCATTTTTATGCTATATAAAATCTTAGAAACATCATTATTACTATTTTTTTTTTAAATCGGTACTGGGGATCACACACTGGCAAGGCAGGTGCTTATGCCACTGAGCTATATCCCTAGCACCTACTATTATTTTAAAGATGAAAATATTTCTCCAGGGCTGGGGATTTAGCTCAGCGGCATAAGCACCTGTCTTGCAAGCAGGCAGTCCTGAGTTCAATCCCGGGTACTGATAAAAAAGAAAAAAAAGAAAATATTTCTCCAAGATAGCACTGTTCAGGGCAGAAACAAGATTCAAATCCAGTCCTTACCCAAAGTCCTTGCTGCTCCATAGTGCGGTCATACATGACGTGTTAATCATGTATGACCTACTATCATTGAATAAGCAATTTTTTTTTTTTTTTGCCTTTTTCGTTTTTTATCGGTACCAGGGATCGAACTCACGACTGCCTGCTTGCAAGACAGATGCTTATGCCGCTGAGCTAAATCCCCAGCCCTGAATAAGCAATTTTCTGATTGAGGCCATCTCCTGAAGTTTGAGTAGAAGCTCATATATGAAGCAATTAATATTTTAAACTCCCATTTGATATAAATTTCTATGTTCTGAGGACAAATTATTAGTCTTAGCTGGAAATGGAGTCACTATTCTGTATCAACATTCTGTATAGACAAAAACCACCTAAGCACTGTAAGGCCCTTTATGCTCTATGCAACAAATATGAAGTCACAGAGTAAATAATGGTTACTGGTTAGATGATAGAAACTTGTATCCAGGCTCAATGACTTACTCTGCCTTAGGCGAATCTAAACCTCTTCATCCTCTGTAAAATTCTACCTCACAGGATTATCCTAAGGATTGAATGAATAATGTGGGTGATAGCAACTAACACTACCTTAGAAACAAAGTGCTGAAATACTGTTTGTTAAAATTCTGTAGCTGCAGCATAAAAAAGCTACAATAATTTGTTATATTTCATTTTCCTGCAATATAAAATTGAAAAAATAATACTTGCAAGCAAAGTGCAATGATACCTTTGGAGGAAAGGAACTAAGTTCTGAGTATTCATATTATCACTACCTTGCTACACCTCCATAATCTAAACCTTCTTCTCCTGGAAAAATCACCCACAAACGTCTTCGCAGATCTTGGGGACTGAAGCTCATTATCTACAAAAAAATAAAGTAAGATACTTGGTAAAACAGGTGAGGAAAACATCATTCTATCACTTCCAAGTCTGACACCTTCTTCATTACAGGCAACTTAAATCCTCAACACATAGAAGGGTGCTGATGGTCTCATTAAAACACAAGCACAGAAAATAAATAGTTTTATAATGTTTCATATATATTTATAGTTTTTGTTTTTTGGTATCAGGGATGGAACTCATGATCTGGCACTTGCCAGACAAGTACTTGAGCTGCTGAGCTAAACCCTTAACTTTGGAACTCAATCATAGTGGCATCTTATACATGTTCAGACAAACTACCCAAATTTCATGTTCTGCAACAGGTGGTTAAGAGAATCATCTTAAGAGCTAACGGACAGTACTATTACTGAGTTACATAGGTCATTTGGTTTTCCCCTTTTAATTTTTTTTTCCTTTGGGTATCTCAGACTGGCTTTGAATTTTGCAAACTTCTTGCTTCAATTTCATATGTGGCTGAGATTATAGGCAAGTGCCACTGCACCTATCTTGTAAAACTAATTATCTGTCCCAAATTGGGTCTTGCATACATTAATAACTTTCAGGGAAAAACACTGGAAGGGCCTAGAGAGAGAAAATGCTTGTATTTTATTAAGAATGAACTCTCACACTTAAACATCTAAAGATCAGAAAATAATCTGCTTATGCCAGGAGTTCTTTTAGTTCCTTGCAAAACAAACTATTTTTACAAATCATATCTCAATTGAAAGAAAGAAAAGGGCCAGGGTATGCAGCTCAACAGCACAAACACCTGCCTGGTAAGCTCAAGGTCCTGAGTTTGATTCCTGATACAAAAATAAAACAAAACAAAAAACAAAAAACAACCCATAGAGAAAAAGTTCAATCGCTCGAGCCCAGGAATAATCAAAAACATTCAATGTTTATGATATACTTACATTTTGGAAAAATATTATAGGCTGGTTATATAGCAATGTAAATGACAGATGTCACAAAGTTAAAACTACCTTTAAATAATTATCTTTGACAAATGCCTAATATAAATCAAAAAAATTATTTTCTTCTACAATTTCCCTCATAAGCAGCTATACTATGTTAACAAAAGAAAACACTATCTAGAGCAATTTTATCAACAGCTAGGCATAAAATCTAATGTTAACTGACATCAGATTCATTACCTTTAAGCAAATTGTTCCTTTAAAATTATTATTATCTACTTATTTGATGGATGTTAAATCTAAGATAGCATCTTTTTATTTGAAAAAGCTATTAGATTTGAAATCAAAAGACAAAGGGTCAGTTTAACTATTTTTTGCATCTTGTCATCACTGTTACCAGCAAGTTATGTTACAAGAAACTGGTGCAACTGAGACTGTCTTCTGTGACAGAAGGTGATTATAAATATAAAAATTAGATTTAGGCAAACACTAGAGTGGGCAATGGTCTTGGAGACATATCAGATCAAAGGTATGACAGTAATTCTCTAAAAGGCCTCAGTGAAGCTCCAACTCCCACTAAAAAGTTGTTTATGCCTACATAGCACGTGTCAACTAGCTTTTCCCTTTAAATTCTATTCTATTCTATTCTATTCTATTCTATTCTATTCTATTCTATTCTATTCTATTCTATTCTATTCTGTCTTTTTGAGACAAGATCTCGCTATACAGTTCAGGCTGGCCTTGAGCTCACTTTGTAGCCCAGGCTGGTCTCAAACTCACAATGATTCTTCTGCCTCAGCCTCCCAAATGAGGAATAAATAAGTCACCACACCCAGCTTCTCCTTAAATTTTAATAACTGAGATTCTATTAGAAAATCAGCACAATTATTTCTAAAAGAAAATAGGCAATTACTGCCAACCACCTCAATATCTTTTCTCTTTGTTCTAAGTTCAGTATTTCTTAACATGCAGCTACTATAGTATCAAAGGTGCTTAAAAGTAATCATTTTCCACATCTGACTATAAAACAAGGACTAGACAGATACTTTTATTTTTTGATGTTATTTTAATCTCTACAATACAACCACTTAACATTTAGTTGCTAAAATAAAGGTAAACAGTAAATTTGACTCAGGTTGAGGGGTGTGAAAGACTTTGTTGACTTCTACTGGAAATACATACTTTTTTTCAGACATTGTTGCCCAAGACTAATTAGTTTCTTACGCAAAATTCTTTTTTTTCCTCCCTTTTTTAGACAGAGTCTCACTATTCAGTTTGAGCTGGCCTTGAACTCACTTTGTAGTCCAGGTTGGCTTCCAAATTACAGCAATCCTCCTGCGTTAGCCTCCTGAGTGCTGGGATTACAGGCATGTGCTACCATACCTGACTGCAAAACTCTTTTTTAAAAATTCAAAGAACACATAAGTACAAAAACTAAGTCTCATACTCTTTTTATGCATTGCATAATCGTTATACAACTATTTTCAGATCTTTACCTACTGATATCTTACTTCCCTACTAGTATATTTATTTCAAATCTACTCTTATTAACTTAGAAACTTGAGGACTGGGGGTTTAGCTCAGTGGTATAAGTGCTTGCATGGTTGGCTCGAGGTTGTGAGTTCAATCCCTGGGACCAAAAAGCAAAACAAAACAAAACAAACTTTAACTAATCACTTTATGTTACTCTGGCTCTTACAAGGACAAAAAAGACAGGCACATGGGACGTACATGCCCACACTATATATCATACTACAGGGCTGGGGGTTTAGCTCAGCAGCATAAGCGCCTGCCTTGCAAGCAGGCAGTCGTCAGTTTGATCCCTGGTACCAATAAAAACGAAAAAGACCAAAAAAAAAAAAAAAAAAAAAAAAAAAAGATTGCTATATATCACACTACAAATTTGTTCTTAAGTGCTAACTATGAGGTAGCTGGCAATGAAATTCAATTTAAAAATTTATGAACTCCAAACTCAAAGAAGTTCTAAACTGTTCAGAGAGAACTGTTGGCACCAAAAAGCAGTCTGCAGCTAGCAGCCAATAAGGCAAATGATGGAGTGAATGAGACAGTACCTGCTGAAAGGAATCCTCAAATAATGTTTTTCTTGTTACTGTAATTTTTATGTGCTGTGGCATGGACAGTTGCTGAAATAAAAAGAAAGATTTAAAGTCAACTTTCACCATTGAAATGGTCTATGAAAAAACCAGAAGGTAAAAGTTTTATTTTTGTTTACAGAAAAAGACTACATACTTAGTGTTTATCCATGTTATTTATAAGCATTCATGTGGCTTATAGATTATTGAATATATGACAAACAGAAGTACTTAATGACTCAAATCTTTGCCTAATTTTCAAAGACTCGTTCACAAAGTTTGAAGTTCAAAAATATTTGACATTCTAACTCTGATGTGCCTTCATTTCATTCACAATCCAAAAAGAAATAATTAGTTTAATTATTTAAATTTAGTTATTTATTTAAATATCAGAAGTAGCTAATCACATTTGGAGGAAAAAAAGCATTCTGAATATATTGGTATATACATGGTTATACATGTATGAACACACATGTGTATATATATATATATCATTTATAACAAATATGCATGAAAAGATGTGATTTATAAGTTAAACAGAAAAAGTTTTAACATATTTGAAAATTTATGCAATGTGTACTAAGGAAAAAGTGACAATGTTTTCTCATTCAAATGATTTCCAACTTAATCTGGAAAAAAACAAAAGAAAGCCACACTTTGTTTTGTCTGTGTGAAACAGTTCAGGCTGGCTTTGAGCTTGCGTCAATCCTCCTGTCTCAGCCTCCTGAGTTCTGGGATTACAAGCGCAAAAGCCACCATGTTCAGCTAAGACACAAATTATTTAACTGATAAATATATTTCTCTTTCCTAAGAAAACAGAAGAGATCCCAAAACTTCCCATTTTATTCACTTTTCTGTGGATTATTTTCATTATTTTCACTGTGTAATATGAGCAACATAACAACAAAAAAAAGGAGTACAGAAACACAGATCCAATACTAACCTGACACCAGAAGCGAAAATACTGAACCTTTGCCTTGAAGTCCCGAACATAGGCTATCTGCGGTCCATTGTCTCTGAGGAAGAACAAAGATTAACAAGATCTATACAGCTGCTTATAAAAGATAATGCTGTGGCTGGGGATGTAGCTCAGAGGCACAGCACCAGCCTGGCAAAGGCAAGGTCCTGAGTTTGATTTCTAGTACCAAAAAAAAAAAAAAAAGTAATGCTGAAGGAAAGCAAATATTCTATGTACTCAGAATACAAAATACCCAGCATATTCCTAATACAAAGGAAAAAAATCTATATGTTTCCCAGAACCATTTTTAAGTAAAAGAAGAAAATACTTTAATCTGATAAAGCCACAGTTGTGGGATTTTCTTCTATATATAGCCAAATCTAAAAGAATTCAATAAATGGTTCCATCTGAGAATGTGTCTGTCCGAATATCCACTCTACCATTTGTCCTTAAATGAGTCTCACTAGTCAATTAAGCAGACTGCTACCTGGGGTAAAGACTAATCAATGTATTCACTGACTTCAGGCTGGCTAGAGAGCTGTAACTGGAAGGGTCATTTGGGGAATTTAAAGGGCTTTAAAAAGAAGTTGGTAGCAGTTTTTGTTTTTACTTTTTCATATTCCAATTTGCCTTTCTTTCATATTCCAGCTATGTTTGGATGTTGAATGTTCCCATAGTGGTGGTATTAAGATGGTATCTGTACACCTGTAAGAAGTGAGGTCTATTGGCAAAGCTAAGCAATAAGAAAAGTTTTTTCAACAAATGGTACTGGGAAAATGGTATATTCATAAGCAAGAGGATGAGACTGGACCCTTATCCAACATCAAATGTAAAAATTAAAATGTATTAAAGACCCAAATGCCACAACTAAAACTACAAAACACTCAGAAGAAAACAAACTGTCATGACACTGGATTTAGTAATGACTATGGATATGTCTCCAAAGGCACAGGCAACAAAATAAAAATTAGTCTTTATCAAAATTTCAAATATTTGCATATCAAAGGATATTATATAACATAAAAAGCCCACAAAAAATGAGAAACTATTTTATTTATTTATTGGAGGAACTATTTTTAAATGGCCAGGGATACAGTTCAGTGGTAAAGCACTTGCCTATAATGAATGTGGCCCAAAGATCAAACCCCAGTACCACAAAAAGAAAAAGAAAAAAATTTAGGGCTGGGCATTGCGCCATACACCTATAATTCCAGCATTTAGGAAGCTGAGTTAACCCAATTGTGAGTTCAAAGCCAGCCTGGGCCTTACCAAGTTCAAGGTAGCCTAGACAACCTGAAAGATCCTGTCTTAAAAATAATTTTCAAAAAAAAAAAAAAAAATCAATCTACCTAATAAGGATTAATACTCAGAATGCACTCATGGGATATAACAATGTTTTAGTCAATGATCAACCAAATATAACAGCAAAAGTTCCATAAGACTATAAGGGAGCCGAACAGTTCCTATTGCTAGTGATTTGTAGCCAGTTTAACATCATAGCACAATATATAACCCATGTTTATAGTGATGCTCATCATACAGTGCATAGTATCAGAGAACAATAGTATATTACTGGATTGTTTTTGTATCATTATTTTAGGTTACATTCCTTCTACTAATATAAAAAATGAGTTATAATTAAACAGTATGCCATACTATTTACAATATGTAGCAGTAAACAACTTGAATTTACCATATCTCTTAACGTTTTCTCTTATGCCTGATTTAATATTTTGTTTCTTTTACAGTGGCCACAGAAGCAATAGCCTCTATCACCTAGGTTAGATGTGTATACCACATAATTTAGATGTGTAGTAACTTAAACCATCTAGGTTTATGTAAGTACACTCTATGATGTTTGCACAATGATATACTTCTCAGAACACACATATACTCATCAATTGACACATGACTGTACATAAAAAAATTACTAAAATGCAAGCGAAAAAGCTAAACAACTTGATTTTTAAAATGCATGAAGGATTCAGTGAATAAAGACCTACTGGCAAACCAGTAGGTGAGTTTCCCATTACTTGCTTATTTAGACTTCTATATCTGAGAAATTAGTTTTGCTTTTAATCCACAACATTTAGAAAACTTACAGAGCAGATTTTCCTGTGCGGGGATCTATATAGGTAGTTGTTCTTCTATTGTGGTCCACAAAGTATGGAATTCCATCCACTGTGAATCTCATTTCCCAGCCTTCAGGTAAGGGCTTTTCATTTAATTGACTATAAAATATAGAGGAAAAGTATAAAAAATATATATGTTCACTATTTTCAATTGTTTCCTAGATATCTCTATCTAGATATCCCATGAACACATTAAAATCATTACTGTGTCAACATTAAAAATCATTGTCTATTCAGTCTCTCACCATATTTCTCTATATGTTCTCCCATCTACTTAATAAACTCAAATATTTTGTGGTTACTAAGCTCTACTCATTCTGCCTTAAAAGTGTGTATATTTACACTTATTTTCAACCTTTTACACCATTTTCTTACTTCCAAAATTTTTCAACAGCTATCTACTGGGTTTTCCTACTACTTGGCTCATTCTGGTTCTATACTAACATTAATATTGCTTATCTTTCTAAAACAGAGATCTCATTCACTTAGTTCTCTCTTTGAAGTATGTTGTTCCATCACTGCCAACAAAACTCCCCATCTGGCATTCACTCTGTATGTTTGCTTCAATGGTCCATTTTAGATTTATCTTTGTACCGAACAGTAGACTCTCTTCTATGAAATCTGTGATTTCTGTGACACATGGCTATGCAATATTTCCCTAAACAAGACGTGATCTACTATATTTCGAAATGAAGTCTTTCTCTTTGTTCTAAATCTCTTTTCTTTCATTATAGCAACTCAGGGGCTGGGGATTTAGCTCAGCGGCATAAGCACCTGCCTTGCAAGTAGGCAGGCGTGAGTTCGATCCCCGGTACTGATAAAAAGGAAAAAGAAAAAAAAAAAAAAAAAAAAAGTTGACATTATAGCAACTCAAAAGTTCTTTAAGAAATTTTGCTACGTACTTCTTTAATAACTTTATACCTTAAAAATTTTGTGACACAGGCAAGCTGTTTAACCTCTCTATACTGCTATCGTCAGCCATAAAATAGAGGTAATGATACCATGTACAAATACTATATGAGGAATGAAACAAGTAAATCAATACAAATTAAGCCCTAAAATTTTAACTATTGGGGCTGGGGATTTAGCTCAGCGGCATAAGCGCCTGCCTTGCAAGCAGGCAGTCGTGAGTTTGATCCCTGGTACCGATAAAAAGGAAAAAGACCCCCCCCCAAAATAAATAACTACCATTGTTCTTTATCCTATTACTAGATTCATTTTCTTCAAGTCTCACAAATTTTTTCTTATATACTGCTAGCATAGCAGTTGTCACATTTCAGAATACGCTTTTGGCAACAACTTCCTACCTGGCAAAAATTACTTGAGTTTTATAACGGGAACTACGTTATAGGACAATGGTGAGTTATGTAAATGACTCCATTTTAATGCTATATATTGAAATAACTGAGGAAATAGCACAAATATTTAAAATAACTTACTAACAAACCTAAGAATTTTATTTTATTTTGTCTTTTTGAGACAGTGTCTTACTTTGCAGTTCAGGTTGGCCTTGGGCTCACTTTATAGCCCACGTTGGTCTCAAACTTGCAACTACCTGCTTGCCTTAGCCTCCCGAGTGCTGGAATTACAGGAGTGTGACACCATGCCCGGCTTAAGAATTTTATTTTTGGGGGGCTGGGGATTTAGCTCAGCAGCATAAGCACCGGCCTTGCAAGCAGGCAGTCATGAGTTCGATCCCCGGTACCGATAAAAAAGAAAAAGACAAAAAAAAAAAAAAAAGAATTTTATTTTTTATGTTCCGCAAAATCTTACATGAGAGTGAGCAGGGACTACTGAATACCTCTTTTGCTGCCTCTGTGTATTTTGAAATAAATGGCAATCAGATTTTATAACTGGTTAGGTAAAATAAATGTTGCAATTTGTATCCACATATGCCACTTCATTTTTTTCTACTTTACAGCTTCAGTTTTCTCATCTGGTAAGTTTAATATGAAAGAGACTAGTAGAAATATTCAAGTTCACATCAGAAAGGGAAACTATAGAGGACTTTAGCCTTTTATGCTGAGCTACCATTACTATTAGGAGTGTTATTCTCCTGAAGTGCACTTCAGAAAAAAAACCATCGCCCTGAATCTTACTTTGCAGATGACACCAAAATAGTAAGAATATTTGGCTGCATTCCTATTATTGAATGTAACTATCACATAAAATACACTACCAAAACTGTAAAAACGAGGTTTCTCTTTTGTTATAATTGCAAGACAGGATTAGTACCAAGTTGTCTTGTTAAAAATTAAATATAACTAGGTCATTTGTAGTAATTGTAAAAATCTGATTCTAACCTTAGAAACCTGAAACTCAAACTTGTAAGGTCCTACAGGGAGTCAAAAGTAGTAGCAAATTTCATAAAGCTGATTTATTTAATTCTATCCTTAAAGATAGTTTTGCATTGCTCTTTTGATGACCTTGAATATATTCAAGTTAAACACAATTAACTCCATAAAAAAAAATTTGTCATCTGTTGGCATCCAGTAACAAGTATACTGAATTTAAATAAAGCCTATCTTTACCCTGCTGACATTATGATCTTGGGACTTCTGGCCTCTAGAGCTGTAAGAAAATTTCTGCTGTTTAAGCTACTCTATTTGTGATGTACTTTGTTAAACAGGACCTAGCAAATAACAGATAAACTACTACATGTTTCCTAAATAGTTATCAAAACATTGAAAAGACACATTGTATCAAGGTATTTCTATCAATACACTGAACATTTTTAACTTGCAATATATTGCAAGTTAAGTGTGTAAACAATATTTTGTAATATCTGCATCAACCACCTGATATTTTTAAAACTGTAATTTCTACTGGTGGCAAAATTTTGGGTAATGCTAATTGTACTAGGTTGCAGCCTATGCTTACAACAGAAGTAAATACTAATTTTTGGTAAAGGCTGGTGAAACTGAGTAGTTAACAGTTCCTCTAAGTTGGGCCATGGGTGTAGCTCAGCGGCATAAGCACCTGCCTGGCAAATAAGAGGTGATGAGTTCGATCCCGTATCACCAAAAAAACAAATATAGTTCCTCTAAGTCACATCTCCAATTCTATTCAATGATCTCAGAGGAAATCTTGCTTTAGAATTACTAATCTGAATTTACTAATAAGTATACATAAGTGAATATGTAGATATAAGTGTATCTCATATACCAGTGAGTTGTTTTTTGTTATTCTCAAGAAAGTCTTAAACTTTACATGACAGAAAAGTAATGATTTTTCTCCTTCTAAAAAGTATGCAGGTGATTAATATTTAAGGCCTTTCGAAGGAAAGTATGCAACTGAGTCAGAGAGAGGTAAACAATCTTTAAGAAATTATATATATATATATATATATATATATATATATATATTAGAATTAAAAGTTCTTACCCTTGACTTCTGGGGTCTTCCCACTGTGTAATTCGAGTGTTGTGATTCACAAAATACACTCTGCCATTGCTATCAGTTCTCTTCTCTTTATTACAAACAAACAAAGCAAAGCATTAATATTGGCACAATCTTTTCTTCAAATCTTAAATGAATTGAACTTGCATCTCGTTGCATTGCTGATTTTAGTTTCTACAGCACATCATAAAAAGATTTATATTTGACAAATGAATGCACATAATTATTAAAGTTACAGAAATATTATTATATTCTAGAAGCTAAACTGATATAATTCACAAGGTCCTGGCCATAGGGCCTTTCAACTCACAACAGCAAAGTAATAGCTTTTCACACATGATCTCACTTTATTTTTTTATTTATTTGTGCAGTGCTGGGGATTGAATTCAGTACATCTACATTTGAGACAAGCACTCTAGCATGAACCACACCTTTAGCTCAACCTCAGTTTATCCATAATTGCCCCCATAGGGTATATAGTTTCAGTTTTATCCTGACAATAAAGTTCAAGTTAAGAGACCTCAAAATTGGGGGCTGGGGATTTAGCTCAGCAGCATAAGCGCCTGCCTTGCAAGCAGGCAGTTGTGAGTTCAATCTCCAGTACCGATAAAAAAGAAAAAGACAAAAAAAAAAAAAAGAGAGAGAGAGAGAGAGAGAGAGAGAGAGAGAGAGAGAGAGAGAGAGAAACCTCAGAATTAAGTATCAGAGATAAGATGAAAACTGGAGTCTCTATTCAGGAATTCTTTCCTCTCACATCATTTTATTTCCTTAAAATATAATTGGGGACTGGCCAGGGATTTAGCTCAGACTGAGGGATGGGAGTAAACTTGTTCTCTTTCTTTTAGGGTGATAGGAATCACACTCTAGTCCTGAGTTACATTCCCAGTCTTCATATTTTAAAAAATATTGTTACTTAATATATCCAGTTGCAAAATCCTAGATATCTGCAATAACTTTCAGTCTGGACTAGACAGTAAGGCTCAGTTATTTAATTACTACATGCTGCTTATGTACCCACTTGTCTCTTGCTTTAGGTTTCTCCTTGTTTCTTATTCCCATTGCATAGAATTTTCCCTGGTTTTCTGAGCTTTCTCCATTAAGGTTTAGAAGACATGTGGTTATCATTTTCTCTTTTAATAAGCAAATCAAATAGCTCCCCACTTTCAATTTTAGATCTACTACCTTTAACTTACTGACTTCTCTATTATCAATTGACTCTTTTAAAAGAATTCCTGTATGTGAATTTTCTGATTTGGCCAACATATCTCAAAATGAATAACTGATATATTAAAGATTATGGAATAGATTCAAGCTTTAAAAAAAAAAGCACACTAAGAATCAGCAATGTTTAAACAAAATACCAAAGTTTAATTCCATGTTGAGAAAGTTAACTTTTATATTCTGTGGTTTGAAAAACTGATACTTATTTTTCAAATAACACATATATAAAATAGCCCTTTCTTTAAGCAAGACATTATAGAATGAATCTTAGGCCAAATTATACATTGTCAAACTAGTATTTGGTAATGAAAAAATTTCCAGCAGTAATTCCATTATTTCAAGTAGCAGAGTTATTATGACATGCTAGTGAGTACAGTGAATCTATTCCTAACATCTCAGCTACCTACTATACCAAGCCTAAAATCCAGGTGGAAGTCAGACGTAGTGGTACACACCTGCAATCCAGCACTCAGGAGGCTAAGGCAGGAGGATTTTAAGCTAGTCTGGGCTACAGAGGGATTTCAAGGATAACCTGGACTACACAATAACTTTTCTCAATACAACAGAGTTCATATGTGCATAACGTACAGGAAAATGGAATCCTGTGTCTTGTGACCCACTATTAGTTCTTAAAATATTAACACAGGCTGTGTGAATATTAACACAGGCTTCACTGATCAAAGCATGAAGTACAGAAACATGCCTTCAACTCTAAAGCTACCTCATAAGCAAAGATAGGCACCTACAATGCTATAGTTTCCATCTCTTACATCACAGCGAAGTAAATTCATGTCCTGGGAGTTTATTAAGTTTTTAAACTGTTCACTTATTTGCAGAATTTATAATTGTCTTTCTGGTTTAAAAATATGTACTCAAGGCGGGTATATAGCTCAGTACCACAGCACCGGTGTGGCAAGCATGAGATCATGAGTTCAATTCCTGATACCAAAAAAAAAAAAAAAAAGCACTCAAATTTTTGTAAAAGGTTAGGACCTGTTTTGTTTTTTTTGGTGTTGCTGTTGCTTTTTGTACTTAAGATTAAACCTAGGGCATCCGGCACCTGCGGCACACGTTCTACCACTAAGTTGCACTTCTAAAATAATTTTTATAATATAAAAGCAATAACCTAAGAGCACAGCTGAGCACATATTCATCTTTTATCTGTCATGTCAATTAAGATTTCAGGATTAGAGATTTTACCTTCAGAAACTAACATGATACAAGACAAAGTTAACAGCAAATTTGTTTACCATATATATTCTAAGTATATATTGCAGATGTTAGCATTGCTCAGAAGAGGCTATGAAAAACAAGATTTCAAAGATGGACATATTTGAAACTGAATGCTCATCTACCTAATGAAAGAAAGGGTTATAACTACAGAGTTGATTTCTTACTTTCATGAAAAACCACATGACAAATACTGACATTACTGAACATCAAATATGAACGCACATCTTGCATTTCCTGGCTTTATAAATACAGCAGTGAAACAGAAGCTTCTTGTTACTCTATATATTCTTTCAAACAATATGAAAATGAAAAACTATCTTTAAATTTGATGGATAATCTAATTATACAATCTTATTAAACTATGTTATTAAACTACTTTGTTAAGCATCATCTTTAGCCCCTTTGTGTGTTTGTGATAGAAGTTCTTAACTGTCAACTTTTAAGGTGATAATGTATTCCCTAGTATATACAAGTTGGAGACGGTACAAAGAAGGATTTAAATATATATGCTGTCACAAGAATAATATTGTCATGTCAATCTCAGAATGAAAACACAGATTCAATGTCTTATGAGGATACTAAAGATATAACAGATGGATCTTATCTGATACAGGACCAGTGTCATCCCTGGTTCCACAAGTAAGGCATGTATCCCAAAGACAGGGAGTCATAAGCTAATGCTTACCCTGAGCAGTGGGATGATTGTGAACTCATTTAAGAAGGGGACAGCATTTTAAGTTTAGGTGTGTGAACCCTAAAAATAAGCAAACTGTAAAATAGGGCAAGAAGCTGATAACCTACATATGAAGCTGGGTCTTTAAAAGCACTATTTTAAGAAGTGTCATTGGCTTAAGCAAAAATCAATGATCTGGATGATGAAGATAAGGATCAAGAAAACAATCAAGGGCCCCCCAAAAAGCTTTTCTAGTAAAGGCAACACAGCCCACAATTCAAGCTTTTATGAATGAATGATTTATCCTACAGCTGCCCTAGAGGAGTTTGTTTTTCACCAGCACCTGAAGCAGGACACAGGTTTTCTGCAACAAAATTAAGGAAGTAAGTATATATCCTTCAGGTATGTCTTTCTATTGAATCAACTTCTCTTTCTGTAACATGATATACAACAACGGTACAAATATAAAGTCAAGCAAACCAGCCACATTTAACTTGACAAATCAGGTTCAATACGCCTCTGAAGGGCAAGGCTCCTATACAGCCAGAATATCACCAGGCTTTGATAAAAATAGATTGTACTTTCATGTGTCCTCCCTTTGTTATAAGTGAATAACAAGTATAAGTAAGGCCTAATACATTTTTTACATTTGACTCACAGGAGAGTTTAGAGGATATATAACCTTAATGAAAGAGCAATGGAATTTTTCAAACAAGATTTATACAACCAGTACCATTTATTGCCCAGATTTATGTGATCTTGACATGTTGATCTTTTTCTTCATTTACTCATAGTGTTACAGCAATTTATTTTGACACCAATGCTTCCAAAAAGACCATCTTGAAATATCACTTTTTGAATTAACCAGAATATGACAAATTAGCCAGACATGGTTGTGGACACCTGCAATCCCAGCACACAGAAGGCTGTGTCAGGATCACCATGAATTCAAGGCCAGATTGGGCAACATAGTGAGTTCAAGGTCAACGTCAACTCTATAGCCTCAGAAAAACCCCCCAAAAACCAAAAAACAAACAAAAACCAAAACCAAAATCAACAACAACAAAAGGATAAATACCCAACCCATAATTGGCTTTGCCTTGCTGTTTTTCCTTGTCTATATTCTCCTTAGCTTTTATACAAAACTCTATACGGAATCTGCCAAAAAAAAAAAAAAATATGTGTGTGTGTGTGTATATATATATATATCTCCATACTTCAGTAGTTTGCTATACTAATAAATGTCTGGAAGCTAATGACCACCACTTTGAGCATCTCTTGTAACTGCAGAAGCCAAAGGTATTAATCTCATGCTGTATTAATCTCATGCTGTTTCAATATAGTATACTTTGAATACTGCCATCTTTATTCTGAAATCTTGTCACAGTGCTATGACTATTATATAATATTAACACTATAAAAATTTGGTAGAGTAGTTTCATCTAATAAAAGTTATTAATTGAATATTGATAAAGCTTTAATGATTAAGATATTAAATGTACTCAATATCAGGGCATATTTATATGCTCCTTTATGGCATGCATGAACTCACCACCCTCATACACTTTCCTTCCATCATCCTTTAAAATACTAAGTCAATCATTCATAACTGTACTTTAGAAAAACCCAAGGATGTCACTATACAGTGTTGGATTAGTGATAAAGCTCAGCAGCAGAGTGCTTACCTATGTGCTCAGGCCCTATGTTCAATCTCCAGCACCACAAACAAACAAATGAACAAATAAATAAAACTCAACATATCCTTTTACACAGTTTTTAGCAGCAGTGATATTTTAGGTATAGTTACAGTACAATACCAAAAACAAGAAACTGACATTGGTACACTTCTGTTAACTATACTGTTCAATGTTCACCATTTTTTAAAAAGGTAATTCATATAGATGAATACATAATCCTATACATTTTTAATCTCATGTAGATTCATTTCATCACTACCACAATCAAAATGTGGAACTTCATCATCATGTAAGAATTCTTGTATGTTACTGTTCATATTTGCATTCACTTCCCACCTATTTTGTTCCCTGACCACTACCTAATCTGTTCTTCATTTGTAGTTTTGTCATTTTGAGAATGGGGGGTATATATATATATATATATATATATATATATATATATGTGTGTGTGTGTGTGTATATATATATGTATATATGTAATACTACAATACTATTGTGATTTGGTTATGGTTTGAGTGTTTTCCAAGGATTATAAAACTTGGTCCTCAGTGTGGCAATGTTGGGAGGTTATGGAACTTTTAAGAGCCAGAAGCAAGTGGGAGGTAATTAGTCACTATGGGTATCCTGCCATATGAGTTCCCACATTCACATGTACTCCTACTATTATGATACAGTTTGACATATGTCTTCACCAGAGCCATGCAGAACCCTGCATCATGTCCTTGAACATCTAGTACTATGAGTTAAGTAAATATCTTTTGTTTACAAAGTACTTAGCCTCAGGTATTTGGTTATAAAGGAAACCAGAGTGATACAAGTATAGAACCTTCTGAGGTCAACTTCTTTACTAAGCATAATGCTGTCTGCTGTGTGTGGTGGCATAGACTTGTAGCTATTATCCTTGGCCTAGTTCATTCACTTTTTATTGCTGAGTGATCAATATTTTTAAACTCTGGAAGACTAAAATAATTTAAATTTCCAATTAAACTATATTTTAATACCCTGACTCAGAACATTTGGGGATTTTAATGCAGGTTTGTCACTACAAGTTAAACTAATATATCTATAAACGTCACTCAAACAAAAGTAGATTATGATAAACATTTTTTAAATGACAGAACTTGAAGAAAAATATGCATGTTATTTACCCCATCCAGGTGGCAAAGGACCAAGAGGATCAAATTCTTTATTTTGTGATGCAGCAAACAAATCTTGATTCTACAAAGAACCAGAAAATGGTGAAATAATAAACAGATTATTTCAGAGCAAGCTTAAATTCTAGCATGCCTTCCTTGGCAAGGTACGGCAAACATTGTCTCACACAGTTCATATCTTAGAAAGGTGTCACAGTTATCAACAAACAGTTTTTTCTTTTTGCTACTTTTACTATATCAATAATATAAAAATTAGAAAGACATATCAATCCCCCAAATCATTTACGATACCAAAACCCAAAGTCATCAGATAGATGAGAAATGTGTATGTGCGCAAAAACAGAAGATCATATACAGGACAAGGGACATACAAAGTAATTTGAAGTGTTAGGGAAATAGGAAGAACAAGCTAAAAGAATTTCAGCTAGATGTTGATGAGCCTAGAACTATATGAAAGACTTCTCAGGAAAGTTCTGTTTGGAATTACCATATTGGTGGAGAGAGGGCTTCAGTTAGATAAAAGCAAATCACAGTCAACCTTCAAAAAGACAAAAGTGCTACTGATTCTACAGATTAAACGATTGTGTTTTAGTTTATACAACAAACAAGAAATATTTACTCATATGTATGTAAGACTTGGTTAAGGGGGGTTGGGGAAAAAAAGACTTGGTTAAGTCTTTTCTCCTTTAGTAAGAAAAGACAAATACTAACTGCTTATAAAAAATGCTCTTATCATGGATAAAAATAAAACAGGATAAAAAATTTGATATACTCAAAATTATGATGCAACTGTTATCAATACCTGACACATCTTTTTTTCCTAGGCTTTGTAGAATTAAAAAAATAACAATCAAACATCATTTCAACCTACATATTTTAGGAGCTTCTCTTAAATGTATGGACATTTTCTTAATCTCAGTGTCATTATCGTATCTAGCAAAGAATCAATGGTAATTCTGTATTTATTTAAATATAATCCATGGTTAAAATACCTAGTTACTTATCTGTTAAAACCAGAGTCCACAGACCCAGGTGTGGTGGTGCATTCCTAAAACTCGAGCCACTAGTAAGAGGCTAAATCAGGAAGATTTCAAGATCAAGGCCAACTTGCAAAATTTAGCTATATCTCATCTCAAAAAAATTAAAAAGGTCTGAGGATCCCGCATAGTCCTCAAAGTTCTAAAGGAAAACAACTTTCAACTCAGATTGCTGTATCTTTCAAATTAACAGAGAAATAAGATACTTTCATGACAAAGCACATCTAAGGATATTTATGACCACAAAACCAGCACTCTAGGGGCTGGGGATTTAGCTCAGCGGCATAAGCACCTGCCTTGCAAGCAGGTGGTCGTGAGTTCGATCCCTGGTACCAATAAAAACAAAAAAGAAAAAAGAAAAAAAAAAGTGTAAAAAAAAAAAAAAAGCACTCTGAAATGTTCTGAAGGACATTCTCGAAAGAGATAGTAAGAACTACAGTTCCATGAAATACAACAGAAAGAAAGGAAACACCAAGGAAAGGAAAAAATTAGAGGGAAGGAAAAAAAGGAAGGGAGCTAACAACAGGAAAATAACATGACAAGAATAAGTCAATATATACCAATTTAATCATCAATGTTAATGATCTCAATTCACCAGTCAAAAGACACAGACTGGCAGAATGGATCAAGAAGCAAGATCAAACAATATGCTACAAGAAACACATTTAATTCAAAAAGAAATTCATAGACTAGAGGTCAAAGGATGGAAAACAATACTTAGAAAAAAACAGGGGTAGCTATTTTATTTGCAGACAAAAAGTGTATTTCAAGCCAAGACTGATTAAGAAGGATAAAGAAAGTCACTACATTCTCCTAAAGAGAACAATCCAGAAGGAAGAGATAACAATCATAAATATATATGCAACAAACATCACTGTACCCAACTATATAAAACAATTACTAACGGACATGAAAAATGAAGTAAGTAAGTCCTAACTAATACAATTGTATTGGGAGACCACAATACCCCCAACTGTCACAAAAAGGTCAACTAGACAAAAAATCCGTAATGAAATATTGGAACCAAATCAAATTTTTGAGCAAATAGATTTAGTAGATGTCTATGAAGTGTTCCATCCTACAACATCAGAATACATATTTCTCTGCAGCTATAATGGGACATTCTCCAAAATAGATCATATACTGGCTCATAGAACACGCTTTATGTAAAGGAATTGAAATTATCCCATGCATACTATCAGACCACAGTGCAATGAAATTGGAAATCCATGCCAAAGGAAACCACAAGCAACTCATAAACACATGAAAATTAAATAATACCCTACTAAACAACCAATGAGTCATAGATGAAATTAAAGAAGAAATTAGGAATAAAAAGGGTGAAATCACAACAGAATTACCAAAGCTGAATCAAGAAGATATAAAAATCCTAAATAACCCAGTATCAATAAATGAAATCAAACATGTAATTAAAAACCTATCAACACAGAAAAGCATAGACCCTGAAGGATTCACAGGTGAATTCTACAAGAATCTTATTGAAGACTTATCACTACTACTTCTCAAACTCTTTAAGGAAACTGAAAGGGAAGCAATACTTCCAAATTCATTCCTGCAAGCAAGCAGATTCCAAAACCAGAGAAGGACCCAACTAAAAGAATTATTGGCCAATCTCTTTAATAAACATTAATGCAGAAATCCTCAATAAGTACTGGCAAACACACTGCAGTAAGTCATCAAGAAGATTATATACCATGATCAAGTAGGATTCATCCGGAGGATGTGAAGATGGTTCAACATACAGGAATCCATAAATGTAATACACCATGTACCATATTAACAGAGCCAAGGACAAAAAAATCATATGATCATTGCAATAGATGCAGAAAAATTTTTGACAAAATCCAGTAACTGTTCATGATTTAAAAAAAAAAAAACCTACAGAAAACTGTAATAGATGTCTTTATCTTAATCCGATAAAAAAAAGCCATCTATGACTAACCAATAGCCAACATCATAATGAATAGACAAAAGCTGAAAGCTTTCTTCTAAAATCAGGAACAAAACAAGGATGATCACTGTTTCCACTCTTATTCAACACAGTACTGGAAACATTAGCTGGAGTAATTAAATAAGAGAAAGAAATAAAAAGAATAAAGATGAGAAAGGAACAAGTTAAACTATCATTATTTGCAGATGACATGATAGTCTTAGAACACCCCAAAAACTTCACTAAGAGGACTGCTAGATTTAGTAAGCTAATTCAGTAATGCACCTGGTTACAAAGTCAACATTCAAAAATCAATAGCCTTCTTGTACACAAATAACAAACTCACTGAGAGAAATCAGTGAAACAATACCTTTTACAACAGCATCCAAAAAACTGAAATATCTAGGAATCAATCTAATAAAGGATATAAAAGACTTCTACATTGACAAATACAGTACTCTGAAAAAGGAGATTGAAGAGGATATTAGAAAATGGAGAGATATCCCATGCTCTTGGGTAGGAAGAACTAACACAGTGAAAATGGCCACACTTCCAAAACTGTTACACAGATTCAATGCAATACCAGGGCCCGGGATATAGCTCAGCAATGCAGCATCTATCTGCCTGGCAATCATGAGACCCTGAGTTCGATTCCTGGTACCAAAAAGCAAATAGGAAAAAAAAAAAAGACAACCAAAAATAAAAATTCCAATAGCATATGTCACAGAATTAGAAAAACAATCCTAAAATTCATCAAGAACCAAGAGACCTAGAATAGCAAAGGTAATCCTAAGCAACAAAGACAAGAAAGGGGACATAACAATTCCTGACTTGAAATTATACTATAAAGCTACTGTGGATAAAACAGTGCAGTACTGGGGAGAAAAAAAAAATAGACCTGAAGATGCAATAAAACAGACTGGAAGATGCAGAAACAACTGCAGACATATTAAGCCACCTTATCTTTCTGACAAAGGTGCCAGACACATTCACTAGAAGACAGATAGTCTCTTTGATAAGTTGCTGGAAACACTGGCTCTACACATGCCAAAGGTTAAAACCACCCATATTTTCTGATTTAGCGAAGCTAAAATCAGAATGAATCAAAGATCTGAATATTTAAAACAGAAACATTAAATTTGCTAGAAGACAGAGTAGGTATAACTTGGAAGACATTGGTGTAGGCAAAGACTTTATGAACAAAACCTAGATTGCACAGGATCTAGCCAAAAGAATCAACAACTGTGAAAAGCTTTTGCTTTTCAACAGCCACCAACAGAGTGAAGAAACAATTCACAACATGGGAGAAAATGTTTGCCAACTGTTCCTCAAACAAAGGATTACTATGGAGAACATATAAAGAACTCAAAAAAAAAAAAAAAAATCAGTCCTCCCAGATTTAAAGATCCAATCCAAAAACGGGCATCTGAGATGAACACACACTTCTCAGGTGAAGAAATACAAACAGCAAATAAATGCATGAAAAATGTTCAACCTCATTGTTCATTCAAGAGATGCAAACTAAAACACTGAGATTCCACCTCAACCCAGAAAGAATGGCTAGTATCAAAAATTCAAGCAATAGGTCTCCCAAGAATCTGCCATGCCGGGACTTGGGGGACCAACCAAGAAATCAATGATCCAGCCTTCCTGAGAAGAAGCACAAGCTGTGCAGGTCAGAAAAAGAGAAGACAATGTCTCCCGGGAATTCGCCATGCCGGGACTTGGGAGACCAACCAAGAAATCAATGATCCAGCCTTCCTGCTAAGCACCACAAACCCACTAGCTTATAATCAAGTGTTGTTGCTGGGAATCAACCCCAGTCCCCACCCTCTACCCGATTAGCAACTGGATGAAGGACAGCCTGTACTAAATGCCTGTATTATGTGGTTGATTATGCAGGCCTGGGGCCTCTGGTCTAAGCATCCTTTAGGAAGATGACTGTGTGTGATAAAACATGTAAGGGGGATTTCCTCCTTTCTTGTCTTTGAAGTCCAATACTGTTTGCCCTGTTTTGCTTTGTTCTGATTATTTTGTTTTATTTAATATCTGGCTTTGATTGGTTTGATTTTGCTGATGGAATGGTCAACTACTGTGAAGATAACAAGATAATAGTACGGTAGCTATTGTTTTCCTGGTATTCTGCTCTAAAGTTCTGTACCAATTTTGCTGCACTGTCTTGATTGGCTTTGTTCTGTCTTGCTTTGTTGTATTTTGCTATCTTTAAAATAAAAAAACAAAACAAAGAATTCAAGTAATAACAAATGCTGGATGGGTTGTGGGGATAAAGAAATCCTTCTCCACTGTTGGTGGGAATTTAGACTAGTGCAACCACTGTTAAAATCAGTGTGAAGATTCCTCAAAAAACTAGGATTGGAGGTCCTATTTAACCCAACCAGTCCCTTTCTGAGTATCTTTGCAAAAGAATTAAAAACATCATACCAGTGATGTACGTGCACACATATTTATAGCAATACGCTTTGTAACAGCCAGATCTTGGAAACAACCTGAATGCCCATTGACTAAGGAATGGACTTAAAAAGATGTGGTGTTTTTATACAATGGAGTACTACTTGGCATAAAGAATGATAAACTGAACACTTATAGGTAAATGGATGCACCTTGAGAACATAACCACTAGTGAAATAAATAAGGTACATGTATAAACATCGTTTTGTTTCATTAGTGAGACAAGCTGAAAGAAAAAAACATGTAAATATATACAAAGTACATATTTTTTAAGATAGTGATATTGCTAATTTCTCTGAATTCGCTAAAGAGAAAGATTTGTACTGGTATTGTTCAGACAATTGAATACAGATGTCTTGTGCTCTGGGTGAATAACTTGGGGATGGCAAGGTACAATGTATGTACCATTGCTGTGCTTTGAAATTTTGTAGTAGTAGTAGTAGTTGCTGTTGTTGTTTTCTTTTCCTCCTCCTCCTCCTTTTTATCTTTGAATAAAATGGATTTGGAAAAAAAAGAAGAAATGCTGAATATATCTAAAGAAGACATAGATGGGACTGAGGATTTAGCTCAGTGGTATAAGCACCTGCCTTGCAAGCACACAGTCATGAGTTCAATCCTCCGGTACAGAAAAAAAAAAAAAAAAAAAAAAAAAAGACAGATTTATAGAAGAGAAGCATAAGAAATGGATGAAAACCTTGAATGAACAATACAGGAAAGAACCACAATGCGTGAAACAGACTTAGAGAGCTATCCAGTAAAGTAAAAACTCCATTGAAAGCTGGCAAAACTGATTGGAAGAAACTACAGATAGACTTTCACACCTTAGAGACAGGATTGTACCAAGTGATCATGAAAGGAAAGATCTTTTAAAAATAACAAGGAACTAGGAAATAACAATTCAACAGCTGCAAGATGATGCAAAGAAAAATAATTTAAGAATAGTAGGTGTCCACTCAGGAGGCCGAGGTGGGAGGATTGTTGCGAGTTTGAGACCAGCCCGGGCTAAAAAGTGAGATCAAGGCCAGTCTGAACTGCATAGCAAGGCCCTGTCTCAAAAAGACAAAGAAAAAAAAAAAAGAATAGTAGGTGTCAGCAAAAAAGCAGTGGTCAATAAGCACAAACTTTCCCAGGCAAGGGAAAAGACCTGATATACAATAAGGCATATAAAACTCCAACCAGCCATAACCAAAATAAATCTACATTCAGGCATATAATAATCAAGATCCCAGACATTCAGCATAAGAACAGAATATTAAAGACTGTTAGAGAAAAAAAAAAAAACAGATCATCTATAAAGGAAAATCCTTCAGTATCACAGCAGACTTCTCAACTCAAACCATCAAGTCAAGACCAGCTTGGAGTGAAGTGTTTCAAGTGTTGAAAGAAAATAACTTCTCATCCATACTGATATACCCTGCAAATCTTTCAAAATTAATGGATAAATAATATACTTCCATGATAAAGAACAGCTGAAGAATTTCACGACCACAAAACCAACCCTACAAAGAGTGCTGAAAGATATCCTAGAAAGAAAGATGAGTTCCAGGAATACAAGCAGAGGGGTTTGCTAAGCAGAGCAGGCAACTGAGTAAGAGGGAAAAGTAGGGGACCAACAGCATGAGGATAATATGGCAGACAAGTCAGTGCACGCTGGTCGTAACCATTAATGTAGATAGCCTCAAGTCATCAACAAAAGAATATGGGCAGAGTGGATTGGTAGACAGTATTCACCAATATGCTATACACAACAAACACATTTGACTCAACTGAAAATTAATGTACTGAAAGTGGGAGTGGACAAGACAATGCTCCATGCGTCAGGGACCCCGAAAAAAGCAGGGATAGCTTGCCCATCAACCACAAAATGGATAACAAAGATATAGTATTTTTATACAATAGAAAGCTACTCAGCTATAAAGAAAGGTAATCTTTCGATTTATCGGTACCGGGGATCGAACTCACGACTGCCTGCTTGCAAGGCAGGTGCTTATGCCGCTGAGCTAAATCCCCAGCCCCAAGAAAGGTAATCTTGAGGCTCTTGTAGGTAAATGGATGCAACTTGAGATCATGCTTATGGGTGAAATGGTTTGGACTCACATGGGTGAACACAGTGTTATCTTCCCAGTAGAACAAACTGAAGGAGTCAATAAATGTCCAAAAAAGGGAATGTGGTAACCATTGTTAATTTCCTATGAACATGTTTTGAATTCCTTATCAATTTCATTGTTTGGGTTTTATTCTGTTTTGTTTTGTTTGATTCTATTACGCTGGATGGTATAAGCAATTATTCTGAAGATAACAAGATATACTATTGTAGCTAATGTTGATTTCCTATTATCTTGTTTTGAAGTCCTGTATCACTTTGTTTTATTTTGATTGGTTTTATTCTGTTGTTTTGTTTGATTTTATTATGTCTGAAGGTATGGGCAGTTATTTTGAAGATAAGAGGCATTATGGTAGCAATTGTTGATTTCCTATTATATTGTTTTGAAGTCCTGTATCACCTTCATTGTTTTGTTTTGATTGGTTTTGGTTCATTTTGTTTGGTTTTATTCTCTTTAAAATAAAAAAAAAAAAAACATATAGACATGCTCATTTTGGCAGCATATGCACCTAAATCTGAAAAGGACACAGATGTCATGAAGAGCTTGCTATTGTGGCTTTCTTCACAATGGCCCATCCTATATCCTGCAGGCTGTACTTTCATCTTGCTTTTTCCTCTTTTACTCAGCCCAAGCTCACTCTGCAGAGTCAGTTTCTCCTTCACTCTTCGCTTTTACTCTTTCAAATATATTTGGTCACTATTTTTTCTCCCCTGCTGGCTTTATTCAATTCTTTGTTTGAAATAAGAAGAATCTGGAATTCAATTCCAAATGTCTCCTTTTGGTGAGCAACCAAAACCTAACAATGTTTCTTCAGTGAGCCACTTTTAGAAGGAGCTAGCCAGTAACAGGACTACAGAGAAAAGGCAGCGAAATGCTAACCAAGAAAATGGAAAGTATTGTTTAACTTCAGTGAATTCCAATAGGGATGATACCAACATTGTAATGATGATAGCCGTAGAGAGCATTAGTGTTTTGTTTTGTTTTGTTTCTCCTTTCTTTTTTGTTTTGAATACAGGGTTCCACTGTATAGTTCAGGCTAGCCTTGAACTCATTATGCAGCCCAGGCCTACTTCCAACTCATGGTGATCCTCCTGCCTCAGCCTTCCAAGTGTTGAGACCATAGGTGTGCACTACCACATCTAGTTGCAGCTGGTTTTCTTCTGTTTAAATTCAACACATTGTCAAATTCACCTTGTTTGGCACAGAGAATCAAGTTTCTCATCAAATTATTTACTGCTGGGCATGCTAGCACCCACCTGTAATCCCAGCAGGCAGGGAAGGCCATGGCTCAGGCAGGAGAATCATTGTGAGGCCAGCCTGGCCTACAATGTAAGAGTGTCTCAAAAAAACAAGCCAAAACAAAACAATACCCAAAACGGTCTACTTACTATTTCCCTTACCTCAGAGAAAAGTTCTGTGACACTTTATGATTGAAGAGATTATAAATTTTGTAGCACCAAAGATTGCATAGCAAATAAAGAACTAATAGGGCCAGAGATGTAGCTGAGTGGCACAGCGCCTGCCTGGCAAGCGCAAGGGCCTGAGTTCAATTCCTAGTACAAAAAACAAAAAAGAAAGAACTAATACATTTTGGTGTACTTGTCATTTTTGGTGCACTATTACTCTAAAGGGAAACAGGTAAAATTTAAACCATTTTTCTTGTTTGTTTTTAGTGGTACTGGGGCTTGAACCCAGAGTCCTTGCACCAAACTATACCTCCAGCCCTTTTATACCTTTTTAGTTTGACAGCAAATCTCACTAAGATGGTAATTTTTCCGGATGGGCTCAAATTTGAGATCCTCCTACCTCCACCTTCCAGAGAGATGGGATTACAGGCATGTACTAACATATCAACATTCTAACAATCTGTTTTTATAAAGTATTCCATTCCAAAGATAATACTGATCTGAAGCCAGAATATTTAGCATAATCCTATGAGGAACAAATTTTTTTCCGTGTTTCCAAACATTGAAACATTTATTAGGATAAATTTCAGTTCCATCATCAGTTCTTCACAACCACTTAAAAGTCAAGTTTTCTGAAACTCAAGTGTTCAAATATTCTGATAAATTAAAGACAGCACTTAGAACTGTTTCACTTCTTCTCAACTACTTGGGTCTATTTTTATTCTTTTGCTCATGAATTTTAAATTGTCTAAGCTCCTATTTTTGGTTTATTTTTAAGTCACAAAGGAAAGGGGTTGAACTTCAGGAAATTACAGACAGAATGGATCACATACATAGAATACTCCAGACAAGTCTAAAAATAATATTGCTAATAAAAACACTAATAGCAATAAATGGATTATCATGCTACGTGAGTCTCCGTTTTAGTGCTTTAAATATAAATGCAGGAAATGTTTAAAATCTGAATTAGTTATTATACTCAACAAATCAACAGACTCCTCACCCCATAAATGAATCTCTGGTTAAACTGCTGCATTGCTCCTTGCAGTTGACTACGTTGTAGCTGCCACTGCTCGTAGTTCCGGACAGATTCTAAAGTTGGCCTCTGCCATGTTGTTGTTCTTGTAAAATGGTCAACATAATAAATACGTCCCATATTGTCAACCCGCCGTTCCCAACTGAATCAGAGCAAAAACAAATTAATTCAACAAATACTTGTGAAACAGATATAAGATTTTACCTTAAGAAATTACTTCTCACTTTTTTCCCCTTCTGAATTATCTGAAGTCTTACTACATACTTTTTTCAATTGTAAGTGAACTTATCCTTAAAATGTATTACTTGGATCTTTACAAGGCAAGGCCTATTCACTGAGTCCATTAAAATCATTAAGAAAACGTTGTTTCTTTTCAGTGATCCTTTTACTGCTGTAATCACACAAATTCTATATACACCTTTCCCAAACAACAAAATGTACTTTTGCACAAGGATAAAACTTTTTCTTAAGTAAACAGTAAGTTGATGATTTCTAATGGTTGGCCATTTAAGGTTGTTTCTAATACTCTGGTATTACAAATAAATATTTTTAATATAGCAAACTTACTTTCTTCTTTTGAATTACTTCTCTAGGATAAATTTCCTAAGGAAATTACTAAGGACATATATTATTATGAAGAGATTTCTGTATGAGTTGTAACAACAACAAAAAAGAGTTGTAACTAATTTATACTGTTATCAGGAATGTTAAAAGGTAAAGTTCCTCAATAAATTAGACTTGCAGCCGGGTGTGGTGGTGCATGCTTGTAATGCCAGTAATCAGGAGGCTAAGACAGGAGAATCATTTCCAGTTTGAGAACAGCCTGGGCTACAAAGTAAGTTCAAGCCCAGCCTAAACTCTACAGTGAGACCCTGTCTCAAAACGCCAAAAATAATAATAATAATCAGACTTGCACATGTAAACACCAGTCTCCCTAGTGTAAGAAACTGAAAGAGTAAATAAGATCCAAATGTTATAATAGATATAGTAAAATGAAAAGTAACTGCTGAAAGGGAAATTATACTATTTGATCAACCTTGCATGCCTGTATCTGACAAACTATTTTGAAGATAACATGCAATGTAACAACCACTATTAAATTCCTATCATTGTTTTGAAATCCTGTATCACTATTATTTGTAGTTGTTGTTGTTTTGTTTTTATTGTTGGTTTTTGATTGCTTGCTTCTTGATTTTTCTGTTTTTTTCTTTTTAAAATAAAAGTAAAGTTCCTCACTATACATCTACTAATTTAATAAGCAAAACAGTAACTTTTAAATGTGTATTTCCAAGGTTACATACTTTTCCATGTTTGACACAGACTTCCAAGATTTAAAAAACATCTCTTCATTCAATTATTTTACATAATACAAATGCTAAATGCTTAATGTCATGTATTAATATTTCCCAACTTTCCCAATTATTCTGCAAAGGCTATATTATATACTATTTATATATATTTCTTTTATAATAATAAATTTAACACACATATGATGGAAGCTAAAATTTTTATTCAGTTAAACAATTATTTTAAAGAAACTAATCTTAAAATTTTGTTGCTTTGAATCAAGTAAACAGTTCAGAAAGATAAATTTATAGTTTTTTTTTAAGGTGCTAGGGATTGAACCTAGGGCTTCACACATATAGGCAACCACTCAACCACTGAGCTTCATCCCCAGCCAGGAAAATCTGAATAACAATTAAGGAATCTTTAGGTCACAAATCAGTGAAAATAGAATCATTGATTAGACTCTGAATAAATCCTCTAGCTCTCTTCTTTTTACACTGCACCTACTATAAAACAAACTGGACAAAGGACAGAAAGAAAGAAAATTAGAGATGATAAGGAAGCTGTGTATAGTTATGACTTATATTTCTGAAAAAACAATTTTTAAGAAACATAAATTGAGATACTTGCCCAGGAGGTAGAGGTTCAGGTCGATCCCATGTTGTTCTTTTTTCAACATGATCTACATAATAAACTCGCCCATGCTGGTCAACTCTCTGTTCCCACCTTAAACACAACATTAAAATTATAGAAAGGCATATACTCGAGAAGTTTGATTTTTCCCTTAAAATTATCATATTATACAACTGAAAAAAACAATTTCTCCACTGCATTAAAAAGATATCAACAGAATTGAAATAGGGTTAGATATGTCATCTTCTAAGGCTCACACACAATAGGGGAGATTTCTTTGGTATAGCTGTCTGTCTATTCTAGCAGACAACTTATATTTCTAGAGTCCACCTAAGAAACCAAAGACAGTCTCAGTCTGACCAGGTTATGGTCAGAACTTGAGTGGAACAGAATGGTGCAATTAATCATAGGAAACGTCAACAAAGACATAGGAAACCTCAACAAAGACTAAGCTAACCAAAGGGCAACTGTCTGAAATCTAGAAAAACTGGAATAAAGTCTTTATCAGATGTGTCCCTGCAAAAAACAGGAATAAAGTTTACAGATTGCTCAATGTAAGAATGCTAGTAGGTTTATTCTCTAAGTGAAGAAGACAGGAGGAGTAAAGCATCATAGCTTGGAAGTTTCAATAACTTCTAAAAACATTCAGTTTATTTTTCTGGGGCTGGGGATTTAGCTCAGTGGAATAAGCACCTGCCTTGCAAGCAGGCGGTCGTGAGTTCAATACCCGGTACCAATAAAAAGAAAAAAAAAAAACCTAATCAAGAACATTCAGTTTATTTTCAATCATAACCTTCAAATTTAGTCTCCCACATAAGCTTTCAAAAAGGAAAACAGGGCTGGGGATTTAGCTCAGCAGCATAAGCACCTGCCTTGCGAGTACGGGGTCATGAGTTTGATCTCCAGTACAGATTTAAAAAAAAAAAAAAAAAAAAAAAAAAAAGCCTAACTACCAACATAAATATTACCCTTTGTATAATAGATGAAATTCTCATCATGACAGTTTATTAATTTATCAGTCACTTAAAATGGGAAGAGTACCAACTTCCCCTGTCTAAATTATCTATTATTACTTTCCTATAATGACTATAATAAAGTCTTTTATTAAAAATGTGATTTTTTTTTTCTCTCTCAAAGAAAGAACAATTCAAATTAGGTGATTATATTATTACTTGGTCTAGGGTAACTTTCTATGACTCAGGGTCCTTTAATTTAAAAAAAAATATTTTATTTTGCCCTAGAAATGAGGGACAAAACTTTCAAATTCAAATTTCTTTACATTTCAGAAGTCTCATAATCAATTACAATTGCTTGAAAACAGCTATTGATGAAATGAAGAATTATTTTCCTAAGTAATAAGTATACACAGAAGCCTAAAGAAAAAAAATGTTAACCAAAAATATTTATTTACCCAGGTGGTAGGGGAGCTTGAGTTACAGTATTTAATGGCCTAGGGCCTGAGCCTCCAGATATAGTAAGAGGGATTATTAATCCAGAAGTTGCTCCTTCAGATGTATTTGTATTTGTGTTCGTTGGTGGCAGAGAACCTGTACTAGATCCATCACTTTCAGAAGTGGCAGATGGTGAACCATTGACAGATGCTATAAAAGATCAAGGAAAAAAGGAAGAGAACTTTTTACTTTCTGAAAACTAAAATCAGGAGAGAATTTAATTTTAGCATCATGTTCTATCCAACTGGTTAGAATTTAACTTTAAAAATAAAAATATACATAACAAAATTTAAGATGTGGATATAGTTAAAAATTAAAACAATGAAAAAAATTAAAATAATGACAAATTGCCAATGTTCTCTCTTTCTAGACTTATTCACAACTTCTTAATTCCCATCTACTCTATGTCACAATTTTAAGTACAAGGCATATCTGATTTAATGACATTACTGGAAACAAAAGCTTTGATTGTCTGTGTTCATGCTCAAACCTAGGGCCTTGAGCATGTTACCCAAGTGTTGTACCACTGAGCTACAAACCCAGTCCAATAAAAAGTTTTAGAATAGGAAAGCATTCATATTCTGTGGTATTTTAAGATTATTTAGTAATTTTTCAGATCTTTAATTTCCTATGGAATCCTGAAATTTATAAAGACTGATTTTTTTGTTTTTATTTTTGCAATGCACTGAAGTACCACTAAACTATATCCCAAATGTTTTATTTGAGTCAGGGTCTCATTAAGTTGCCCAGACTGATCTTAAACTTTCAGTCTTCATCAATCTCCTAAGGAGGTAGCATTACAAGTGATCACCACTTTATCTAGCTAAACAATAGTTTTTGATACTAGTTATAATATAGCCAATATGATTGATAAGCTATAATAGTCTCACAAATAGTCACTGACTAAATCTTCAAGAAATACTTGTTGACTTTTTTTTTTTTTTTTTTTTTGGCGGGGGAGACAAGATTTCATTATCCAGTTCAGGCTGGCCTCGAATTCACTTTGTAGCTCAGGCTGGACTTTAACTTGCAGCAATCCTGCCTCAGCCTACCAAGTGCTAGGATTACAGATGTGTGTCTTAAAGACCTGGTGTATACTGTTAACACAGTCATGGAGAATGAGCAGACACACACTCCAATACAAACTCACTTAATAAAATGATTTGCAGATAACTAATTTATCTTTCTAGCAGTATTTAATTGTTTTGCATTCCCTACCCACACACTATCAGAGGAAAACAGTAAAATTTAAGATTAAAGATTTGTTCTAACAAGAAAAAAGATATTCTATGTACAAATATTTATTTGATACTATGTAAAATGTCTCCATTTGTATTATAATTTTTTCTTTAAAATGTGATTAACATTAACTGCTGTTGAGTTATTTGACATTTACTAATTGTCTTTTTGTCTATAATCCCAGCACTCTGAAAGCTGAGGAAGAATTGCTGTGAGTTCAAGGCCAGATTGGATTACATACACAGTGAGTTAAAGGCCAGCCTAGAATATGTAGCAAGATCCTGTCCCAAAAAACAAAACAGAAAACAGATTCTTGATTGTAAGACATGCATATGTCACATGGAAATCATACAAAATAACTGCAATCTTATCTGAACTATATAGAGCATACATGTGATTTTCATTCTCCATAGAGTACTTAATAAGTTCAGACCTAAAGGAAAAAATTAGGGGAAAGGCACTTCTTTTTGTGATACTGAGGATCGAACTCACAGTCTCACACTTGCCAGCAAGTACCTGTGCCACTAAGCTAAATCCCTGGCAACTTCTTGATTATCTATAGAAAGATAATTCTTGAACAAAATCTTAAATGTAAAAACACAACCAGGAAACTAATTTTAAAAAGGTCTCTTGACACTTACCTAAGGATCACTTCCCAGCTAGAATGTTTTTTACACAACCGGGGAATGGAATACACACCTGGTCTACGAGGGGTGGGTGGAGGTGGTCGTGAGGGTCTTGGAGGTCTAGAAGGCTTGAAACCACCATTTGACAGTGAAGGAGAATTGTTCCCATTGACTCTCCTGTTTTCACCAGATCCTGCATCTTCAGGGTCATCTGATCCATTTGTGTTCACTCTGAAGAAGCACAGAAAGGAAAAGAACAATTCCACTTTGAATTGGAAAACGAAGTTTTAGGAGGTTGAGAAGTTTTCTAATTTTAGGTAAGCCTTATTAAAATACAGTTCTTAGATAGAGTTTTATTTAACCCTTAGAGTTAATCTAGACATAGAGTGATTAAGTTAGTTAAAGGAACAGGAATACTTGAGAGTATTCAAAATTATTGGGTATGCTGGTTTATATTTCAAATAAATCTTCAAAACACCCTGTATATGCCAAGTGTGATGACACATGTTTATAATCTCAGTGCTCAGAAGGCTGAGGTAGGAGGATCACTAAGTCTAAGGTCAGCCTGGGCTACCTAGTGAGTTTAAGATCACACTGAACAACATAGCAAGATCCTGTCTCTTTATAAAACAAAACAAAAACAAGAGGTCAGAGCTCTGTGGCACAGTGCCTGCCTGGCAAGTGCAAGGTAGCAAGTTCGATTCCCAGTACCAGGAGGGGAAAAAAAAAAAAGCAGCAGCTATATTATGTAGAGGTACAAATTCTATATGATGAATGTGATAATTATACATAACTACAATGTATCAATAAAATCTGACTGGCAAAAAAAAATAGCCCTGTAATAAGTCATTTGAACAAAGTCAAAGTCTCAAAATGTGAATTCGTTAAAAAAGGTCCAACTATTGTTCCCATATTAAAATTTAAGGAAGAGATGTCCCATGCGAAAAGAAAGTAGTACTTATTGAGTACTACCACGAGGTACCCACAGACCTTTTTACAAAGAAGCTATCATTCCTTCAAGCAATGACATCAGGCTGGGGATTTAGCTCAGTGGTGTAATCACCTGTCTGGCAAGTGCAAGGTTGTGAGTTCGATCCCTAGTATACACATACACACACACACAAAAGACAACAAAGCAATGACCTCAATTAGAGGGAAAGAAACAAGAGAAGGAAAGACACCAATAGGCAATGTCAGATTGAAAGCTATTGCCACTGTCATGGATTAAAAACAAGAACATGAGCAACTGAGGCATCTTTGATTCTATACCTACAAACTACACAATTGTAATCCATACTCCTAAGAAAGAGGTTAGTACTATGTACTAAATAACATTTTCTGTAATGCTTTTACTACAATGTTTTTATTTATTTATAAAGGTATATTTTTAAATGGTATAACTTTCTTTTTCTACTGAAAATGGAATCCAGGCCTTCATACTGAGCTCCATCCCAGCCTTTTAAATTTTTATTTAAGTCAAGGTCTCTCAACAAATGAATGGGTTAAAAAAGATCTGAGTTTTTTATTATATATAATGGAGTATTACTCTGCCATAAAGAACACAGATAAGCTTGAAATATTTCTAGGTAAATGGATGCACCTTGAGGCCATACTCTTACATGAGATGCACACATTCAAGTACCATATTGTGGTTTTTTTGGGGGGGTATGACAAATCAAATGAGTAAATAAGGACCAAAGTGTACAACAGATACTGAGTAACAGGAGGAAAATGTTCAAATGGAAAAGAGAACAAGGTAGAGGGGAGGAGAAAAGGAAAGAAAAGAAAAAAAATAGGAAAAAAGCAATGGAAACAAGTCTTTTGTAAATAAGGAGGGGAAGTGGAGTTGAAAAGAGGGTTGGTTAAAAAAGAATTAAGATATATTATGTACAGGTACAAATTCCCTATGATGAATGTGATTAATCATGTATATCTAAATGTATCAATTATGGGGCTGGGGATTTAGCTCAGCGGCATAAGCGCCTGCCTTGCAAGCAGGCAGTCGTGAGTTCAATCCCTGATACCGATAAAAATGAAAAAGACAAAAAATAAATAAATAAAATAAAATAAAATGTATCAATTAAATTACTTTTTAAAAAGGAGAAGGTCTTTAAGTTGCCCAGGATGGGCTAAAATTTGCTATCTTCCTACCTCAATCTCCCAGAATGCTGGGATTACAGGCATGCCAAAGAGGTTATATAATCTCTGTACACCTCCAAATATATCATCTTGACTATATGATCCCTAAAAACATTTTATCTAGAAAATTCATGCTAGATTGCACATCCAGTGCTAGACAAGTAAACTGTCAGGATGTATGAAGGAGGAGGACCATTCAAAGGCTGAGGCAAGGGGTCCAGGAAGATGGCGGAACAGTAAACAGCAGAGTAAACAGCCTCTCTGAGAGAAACAGTCCAGATGCTGGAATATAGCACCATAGAGAAGACAAGAAGGAAAAAGGAAGTGAGTCCCCTCCACCCAGGAAGAACCTAAAATAAGAACTGAAGCTCACAGAAAGAATAAAAGGAAAGAAAGAAAGAAAAACTTAAACAGAAGAAGGCAGTAGCTGGTGGCACTTTCATCTAAACTGATATACCCTGAAAAACTATGTGAAAAAAACTGTTGAAACCTGGGGACACACGTCACAGTGAAGGTGGTGGCTGGAAAGTCTGAAGGCCTCTGTGGGGAGACACAGTGGTGGAGAAGAGCAGTGGATCAGAGAACTGCACTGACTGGCAGTGAGTGTGGGGGACTCAGTCCTCCTGTGGGAGTGGGTAACTGGCGGGGGGCCATTTTGGAGTCGGGCACAATAAGCTCAGAGTCAGAACTGCAGCTGGCTTCATTCAGTTACTCCTAGCTCAGAGCAAAATGGTGGAAATTGCTTGGACTGAGTCCCACCTCTGTGTGCAACAGCCACCTCTGAGGTTTCCCTAAAGCTATCCCCAACCAGCTCCACTCCCCACCAGGGTACTTTATAGCAAACTTTATGTGGTAAGGGCTCCTTGCTGTTAACCAGTCTGAGAGGGAGGTGGTAGCCTCCCATCCTGTTTGCACTCCAGCAGCCATGGGCAGCCCTACACACAGTGCACCCCATGGTCCCCATCAGATATGCCTAACCAGCATGGGCTAGAAAAAGCAAACAGTGAAGAATATAAAAAAGACTTAGAAATATGAAACAGATTCAAAGAGATAACCAGGAAATTAAAAACTCCATTGAAAGCTGACAAAACTGCTTGAAAGAAACTAAAAACAGACTATCAAACCTTGAAGACAGGTAGCAATCATGAAAGGAAAGCGCTCTTAAAAATAGTAAGGAACCATAAAGTAACAATACAAAGGCTACAAGATGATAGAAGGAAGTATAACTTAAGAATAAAAAGCATGAGTGAAAAAGCAGGGGTAAACATAAATGAAATACAAAGGCTATTTACAGAAATAATTAAAGAAAACTTCCCTAGCATAGGAAAAGGAAATGATATTCAGGTAAGTGAGGCATACAGAACCCCAGTCAGGTATAACCAAAATAAACTTACACCCAGACGTATAATAATCAAGATTCCAGAAAATCAACACAACAATAGAATATTAAAAGCTATCAAAGAAAAGAAACAGATCACCTATAAAGGAAAACCCATCAGAATCACAACAGACTTCGCAACACAAACCATCAAATCAAGGGAGCTTGGAGTGAAGTATTCTAAGACCTGAAAGAAAATAACCTCTAACCGAAACTGATATACCCTGAAAACCAACTTTCAAAATTAAGGGAGAAACAAGATACTTCCATGACAAAGAACAACTGAAGGAATTCATGACCACCAAACCAATCCTACCAAAGGACATTCTAGAGAGATAAAAAGACCATGATTTCAGGAACGGTGGTAAAGGGGCCTCACTGAATGGGGCAGACAGTGGAATGAAGTAGGCAACCAATGGCAGAAAAATAGCATGACAAAGATGAAGCAGAGAAGGTTGGCCATAATCACTAATATAGATGGTCTCAACTCACCAATTAAAAGAAACACAGGCAGAGTAAGAAATACATTTATCCTGAAAGGGGGGTTATAGACTGAAAGTCAAAGATAAGAAAACAACACTCTATGTAACAGGAAACCAGAAAAAAATGGGAGTAGCTTGCCCATCAGCTGCAGATTGGGTAAAAAGCCATGACACTTTTATACAATGGGAAACTACTCAGCTATAAAGTAAGATAAACTTGGGCTGAAGATTTAGCTCAGTGGTGTGAGTGCCTGCCTGGCAAGTGCAAGGCTATGAGTTCGATCCCCAGTACCAAAAAAAAAAAAAAAGAAAGATAACCTTGAGGCTCTTGTAGGTAAATGAGATCATGCTCAGGGGTAAAAAGGTTCAGAGTCACTTAGGTGAACAGCAGGTTGCCTCCCTATTACAAAAACTAAAGGAATTAGTGGGATCCAAAATGCACAATACTGTGAAAGTGAAAGAGGAGGAACAGTCTAAAAAGGAAAGGAAGTGGCCATTGTTAATCTATTATCATGGGGGCTGGGGATTTAGCTCAGCGGCATAAGCGCCTGCCTTGCAAGCAGGCCGTCGTGAGTTCAATCCCTGGTACCGATAAAAACGAAAAAGACCAAAAAAAAAAAAAATCTATTATCATGTTTTTGAAACCCATATTGTTTTCATTGTTCTATTTAGTTTGGTTTTATTCTGTTTCAGTTTGTCTACTTGTATTAGATTTGATGGCATAGACAGAAATTCCAAAGATAGCAGGATATATTATGGTAACCATTTTTGATTTCCTATTAGTTTGATTTGAAGCCCTGTATTACTTTCATTGTTCTATATTGACAGATTTTATTCTTGTTTGATAGTAACAAGTCTGATGGTATAGACAACACATGACACACAAAGTGCTACAACAGAATCTTTCGTGGGCATATAAAATTCTATCATATTCCCAATGCAAAGATAAGGGTTTATTTATATCAAAGAGAATTTAAGCAGAAAATATTAAAACATAAGGGAAAAACTTAAGAAAGTCAAGAAATTTTCTATTAAATGTCTAGCCTAGAGATATGTTCGTGTATTTTTAACAAACTTTTTTCTTTTTTTTGAGATAAGGTCTCACTATTTTGTTCAAGCTGGCACAGATCTCATCCATTCTAATAAAGTCCTAGAAGATACCACTAATGGCTTTTACATGTGTGAAAAGGTCCTAAGCCAGATTTCCTGAAGAAGAAGCCTGGTAGCCCAATAGCAACTCTAGGATTCAGAACTACCTCCCTTTCAAAGGTACCAACATACTCACTTTCCTCAAGCTGAAGAAAAGCATAAGCAATTTAGTCATCTATGGCCTATTCCAACTAGCTGCAGACAAACTGGGTCTTTAATCTTTCATAAATATTTCCCTTCTTACCTAAATTTTGACAATTATTTGTTTTTATATCAATCAGAAACTGAAGCCTTATTGAATCTGTATTAATTATTCCGTGTATCTTTCTGCATTCTGTGGTGAGCAATCACTGAATTCTTACCTTGTTTCATCTTTGAGTCTAGAGCCATCATCATTCTGTGAAGCACCTTTAATAGCAATGAAATTTAAACAGAAAATGAATTTCAAAATAGTCAGCATTTTTCTATATATGCCATATAAGCAAAGAATTTATTAAATATTCCTTATAAAGAAGATACTATACCTTAAATCTGAACATTGAGTTTAAAAACAAAACAGGATAAATGTTCATGACTGAAATATGTTTTACCAAGATTTTATACAGATATCTATCATTACGTGTTGAACGCACTATATTGCCTCTTTTGAAATGTATGTTTGACTCTAATGTACACTTAAGTGTTTAGTCAAATTGTGTATGCTAAACACACTGCCTCAAGAAAATTACTCATCACCTGCAGGTTCTTGTAAATAGAAAAACCAGTAACACCTCTCTTTTACATAGGAGCTTAGAAAACAGCTTACAAAACAGGAAATGCACAAATAAATCTCAGAGCAACTAAGACAAATGCTACAATTTCCTATTAGTTTTCTTCAAACTTTATTCACTGAAAATATCAATGTTAGGATTTGTATACTATAGGTGTTACAGGGAGGCTACTAGAATTGGAACAATAATAGCAACAAAAACAGATTGCAGCTTCATTCAGTGGCATCGGCTGAGTGAGTCAAGAGAGAAGATAGGGAGTTACAGTCTAGCATGAATAATTTAGACTCCATCTCAAGATAAATTTGATAAAGACTAGGGACGTAGCTTAGAGTAAGCCCTTGCCCAACACTTGTAAAGCTCTGGGTTCTATTCCTAGAGCCACCACCAGAGGGGATGGGTGCAGTTTACTATGCAGTTCAGGCTGGCTTTGAGCTCATTTTGTAATCTAGGCTCATCTTGAACTTCCAACTACTGTGCCTCACCTTCCCGAGTGCTGGGATTACAGGTGTGTGACACCACGCCTGGCTGCATATAGGCATGGTTTTATAATGTGATATCACCATATTATACCTGTAGTATATTAATGGATTAATGCATTAAAAATGTGAGTCATAAACAGATTACGTTATATATACCATACTTAACAAGTTTGGTATGTATCTGGTCCATTCTCAAAATTAATGTTTTACACAAGGAAATGGATAGAAAATGTGGTATGGTAATAAAACAAAAAACTCTACCATGGGCCTAAGGTTTAGCTCAATGGCACAAGCGCCTGCCTGGCAAGTGCAAGGTCATGAATTCAATCCCTGGTACAAAAAAGAAAAGAAAATTCTGCCATAATAAAAAGAAGAAACTATCAAAAATGTTGTTGGGCGGACCCCTGTAATCCCAGAGGCAGCATTGCTACAAATTTGAGGCCAATCTGGACTACAAAGTGAGTTTAATACCAGCCTTAACTGCATTGTGAAACTGTCTCAAAAGGAAAAAAAAAAAAAAGGCTAATACAAATGTTATCTCATGGATAAACCTCAAAAACAGTATGCTAAGTAAAAGATACAAACTATCACATATTCCATGATTCCTTTTATACAAAAGTGTTCAAAGAGCACTTTTAATTTAAATTTTTAGAGACAAAAAATGGATTAGTGTTTACCTGGGGCTAGAGAAGAAACAAGATTTCTTGTCAGTGGGCAAGAGGGATTTTTTTTCTTGGTACTGGGGATCAACCTCACAACCTTGTGCTTCCCAGGCAGACACTTATGCACTGAGCTAAATGCCCAGCCCAGCAAGAGGGATTTTATTGGAGGGATAAAAGTGTTCAAAACCTGATTCACAATCATGGTTGAACCACTCAATTAAGTTACTTTAAAAAAATCACAAAGCTCCACACTTGAAATTGGCTTTTTTTCCCTTCCTGTATCCCCAGGTCAATTTTATGATATGCAAAATAGTTTTTTAAAAGATACTGAAATGGCTTATTTATTTATTCTTTATTTTGTCTTTTTGAGACAGGGTCTTGCTATACAGTTCAGTCTGGTCTTGGGCTTACTTTGTAGACCAGGCTGATCTTAAACTTACAAATAATTCTCCTGCCTCAGCCTCCCAAGTGCTGGAATTACAGGAGTGTACCACCATGCCTGGCTTGAAATGTTTTTTAAAACATAGTATAACGAAATGCATTTTGTCTAATGAAAAGTATATTTTATTTTTACAAGACTTTAAGTATTTTTAGTGGCATATGCCTGTACTTCAAGGACTCCAGTAGGCTGATGCAGGAAGATCACAAGTTTGAACATGGTGATTCTGAGACACTTTGTCTCAAAATATGAACAAGGGCTGCACAGTTGGCTCCACAGAAAGGCCCAGTACCACAAAAATGAAACCAAGAAATAAAAATGTAAAACAATTAAAAAATTTTAGACAGAATATAATGGCCCCTAAAATGACTAATAAATGAAACGAGAGGGCTGGGGAGTTAGTTCAGTGGTACAGCACCTACTTGGCAAGCATGAGGGCCTGGGTTCAATTCCCAATACCAAAAAAGACAGAGAGAGACAGACAGACAGAGACAGAAATTCACATCAAAGTATCTAGCACTCTACTTGTCAAAACTAAATATTGATTTGGAATAATACATTGAAATCTACCTGTACCTGGTATGTCAAACTTTCTCATATACTCATGAAGTACAATATTTAATCACATGAGTTTGTATCATAGATTATGTAGTAACTTTGTGACCTTAAAAAATGTGTATCACAGGCTCAGGGTTTAGCTCAGCGGGTTAAGTGTCTGCTTTGCAAGCACGAGGTCGTGAGTTCAATCCCTGGTACCAAAAAAAAAGTGTATCTTGAAGCCAGGCACAGTGGTAGATGCCCGTAATTCCGGCACTTGGGAGGCTGAGGCAGGAGTATCACTGAGAGTTTGAGGCCAGGCTGGACTACAAAGTGAGTACAAGGCCAGTCTGAACTACATAGTAAAGCCCTGTTTCAAAAAGACAAAACAAAAAACAAAAACAAAACAAAAAAACCCAACCAAACAAAAAATGGATATCTGGTTTTCTGCACCTTTTTTCCTGGTGCATATAATGGGAGTGATATCTATTTCACAGTGAAATTATTACAATAAAACCTGTAAACATTTAGATCCTAGCATATAAATACTCTCAAAATATTAGCTACTATTACTTATCAAAATTGACATCTCATTAACAAAGTGAAACGAGCCATTTTTGTTCAATATTCTAAATTCACTTCAATATAAAGAATAACTATAAAATTTATGGCATAAATTAGATCTAATCCTGTTTCCAATCAGAGCATAGTTAACAAAAACAAAAATCTGAAACTTAGATATTCTATCACTGAGCCCAAAGAGCTACAATTGTAGCTTAAAAAAAAAAAAAAAAATTATGTTCAGACCTGTCTGTCTCACTAAGTTGCCCAGGCTGCTCTCAAATCTGTGATCCTCCTGCCTCAGTTCTGCCAGAATAGTTGTTTTTGTTTTTTGGGTTTTGGGGGTTTTTCAATACTGGGACTCCAACTCAAGAACTTGCACTTGCCAGGCAGGTGCTTGTGCTGCTGAGTTATATCGCTAGCCCTGTACTACTCTTTAAAATATTCTGAATCCAAATTTCCTCAAGAAAAAAATGTCCAGATTTTTTAAGGCATGTATTTTACAAACAGAACGTATGGAAGATCTGCCAAGATCTCTTCAGCTCTGTAAGTTAAAAAGAGCATACAACCACAAAATAATTAGCTTCAGGTTAATTTAGATCACTTGTCCTAGATACTGGGTGCCTCATAATCTCAAAAACAAAGTTGGAACAGGATGCAGTAAGCAAATGTAAAACAACAAGTTTATCCTTGGCAATGATCATCTCTGAGAGCCATCAGACAGCATAGGGCCAACAGAAAAGTGGGGGTACTAAATTACATTCTATCACATTAGGCAGGCAAACTTAGAAAGGAGCTAAAATGTTCCCAAGTCTGTGGCATATCACTTTAGCACCTAGCACAAACAAACAAAAAAAATTTCTGCACCAAAGTATTTACATTTGAGGTCCTTAAAATTCCAACAGACTGCCAGGTGTGTTGGCACACACCTGTAATCCCAGCGTTTGGGAGAATGAGGCACAAGGACCACTGAGAGTTCAAGACCAACCTGGGTTATAAAGTGAGACCAGCCTAAATTGCATAGTGAGACCTGTCTCAAAAAGAAAAAAAAAAAAAAAAAAATTCTAACATTACGATAAAATAAACTTGCAATCAAAGAACAACAAACAAATGAAAACCAGTCTCAATGAAAAAGAAATTAAAATTATTTATATTCCAATATTAGAATTATCAAGAGAATATACAGAAAAACTCTATCAAAAGAAAATTAAACCAGGTATTTAGTTATCATTTACAAAATAGCAATTCTACTCCCAGTGATATACCCTAAATAGGTTCATGAAAATATCAACAGATACACAAAAATGTGCACTGCTCATGTCAAAAAATTCAAAACAATCCAAATGTCCGTTGATAGAAAAATGGATAAACTCTTCATATACAGTCACTGAACAGATTATTATACAACAAGTTAAAATAAGTGAACTCAACTATAGTACAGGTAAGTACAAAAAATAGTAACAATATTTTAATAAAATTGAAGAAAAAGTACAAGTAATATCCTTTAATCACACATGATACATGTGAGTACTGGAATTATAAGCGTGTGCCACCACATGTAGGTGATTCAAGTTTTACTTGGTTAGCTTTTCAATTTCTAGAAAAATGTAATTTTTAACAAATAGAATAATAAAATGTTTAAAGTCTGTTTTTCAATAAGAAAATTGTTTCTTTTTTCTGAAAGAGAACAGCAATAATTATATAGAGCATTTCACAATGGCTATTTTGTATCATAAGAATCATGAAGAGTTTAAAAAGGACCACTCACTTTCTGCACATGTGGTTTCCCCATTAGTAACAACTTCTGCCTCTAACTGCAGCCCATCAAGACAGATTGACAAGTCTCCTATTGTCTCTGTTGGCTCTTTGTCACCTATAAGCTGCAAAGTCACAACCACTTCTTCAACTGAAAATAATAACATTACAGGAAAAATATTGTCACTTTTTTTTAAACTAGAATAACTTAAAAGTATCTAGTGACAGGAGAAAATATACATATGTGTATATAAATTGTTTTCCCGTATTTTACCCAAAGCTTAACATATCTTGACAACAAAACATTATATTTTAAAAAGAAAACAAAATCTGTTAATGTTTAATACCCCTAATGCAAAATATTAAACAGCTCAATCATTTCAATTTGTATACTTATTGTACCTTTACAAGGTTGCAGTATAAAATGAAGCAGCATGACAACAAAGATTCTTTAGCTATGTATCTGAATTATATCAAACAAAAATTTAAGAATGGATTTTATCTCATTAACTTTTTTTGGTAGTGGCAATCGGACTCAGGACCTTGTTCCTTGTGCCTCTGAGCTACATCCCTGCCCCAAGAATGGATTTTATCTCATAAGCCTAAATTCTTGGAACTATATTTTAGACAGTTCAAGGATTAAAAAAAAATCCGCATTTTAGAGCTTTATATATTAATTAAAATGAGCAAGCTACAAATGATGTAAATAAAATCAAATCCCTCTAAAACTAAAAGACTCAGTAAATAAACAGTTGAAATAACAAAGTAAAGTTTATCTATACTTTTACTCCCCAAATCTGTCAAAATAGTAACCATTTCTGAAGTGATTGTTTTTTTCCTTGACTTCTGCTCTAAATTTTTTAGGTTTTCCATAATTGACTGTGTATTATCTTAATGGTAACTCTACTTACTAAGTTTACTAAAAATGCTAGGGCCAAACTAAATAGCCAAACCAAAGTTACTCAAGGTTTAAATAGGTCAAGATTCTTCTTCAATAGCCAAGTAAACCTAAATTTAGGTGAATAGTGAACATGAATCATTCTGCATGTTTTGCACATTAATTTTGTCCAAAAAGCAAAGAGTAGGGCGCAGTGGTAGAGCACTTGCCTTGTATGTTCAAGGCCCTGGGTTCGATCCCCAGCACCCCCCTCCCCCCCACACACACCAAAAAAACAAAACAATCAAAGAGCTAAGCACAGTTTCTATTATTCTTACATACATACGTTTCATATTGTTTGACTTTAATGTTTCATATATATCTAATGCAGCAGTTCCCAACAAAACATCAGATTTCAGTGTCTGGTGACTCCACACACGAAACTGTAATTTACTCACAGGTGTAACGATACTACAAGTGAAAAAAGAAGAAAAATAGGAAATTTGAATTTTCAAGAATATATAAACTACTTGAGTCAAAGAGCAGAAAAATACAAGCCCTAAATGTCTATCACAGTTCCATGGTTCAATTCTGTAAAGACAAATCCCCAAAATGTATAAATTTATCTATACATTATTCTTTCCAAAATGTGATTCAATTTCAAGAAGCAAAGAAACACTTTTCTCTTTAGAAATCCACCTATTATTGCCATCATATTTCCACCTCCATTTTAAGTGACATACAATGTACTCATTGTTTTAAAAGGAATACAGTGTATTCTTTCTCTTTTCAAAATTCTCAAATGCTACTTTCAGGAGAACTTAATAGTATATACTCAGAAACCACTGGCTGGACATAGTTGTGCACACACCTGTAACACTAGCACTCAGGAGGCTAAGGCAGGAGGATCACTGCAAGTTTAAGGCCACTTTGGCTACAAAGTAAGTTCAAGTCAACTTGATCTGCATAGCGAGACCCTGTCTCAAAAAGACAAAAATAAACAAAGAAATAAAAGTAGTATCTATAAGCCAACAAGTGAATCTCAACAGGAATGAAATAAAGAGCAAATAAATTTAATTTTACTTCCTCCCATCCATTCACTCATACTAGGAATTGAATCACGGGATTACTGAGCTGAATTACAAGCCCTTTCTCAAAATTTTATTTTAGAACAAGAACTCATTAAATTGCCCAGATTGGCATCAATTTAGGATCCTCTCACCTCACTCTCCAAAACATTGACACTAAATATCTAAATTTCCAATTATCTAAATTCACACTTGGCTTACTTTTTACTTTTCTAATATGGGAGAAGACTTAAAGTGTATCCTCAAAGATAGTTTTATCGAAATCTTTCACTTGAATTCGAAAGAACATTACAGATAGCGAGCTACACATCAATAGAAGCCACATTTTTGTTTTGTTTTAATCTTTTTTGCAGGCCAATGTGCAACACTTAAACTTTAGGAGAAAAGTTACAAGTTCCACACAGGGTTACAAAGAGAGTTTCTTTTTTTTCCTAACTTTTGAATCACTAGGGCATTCATGGCATTAACAGCCTAAGAGTTTCACAGTACATATACAGTAAGCACTGATAGCAGCTGCAAAGAGATGAATGTTGAATCTATTATTAAGGTGAATGTCTCTGGCCATTAAGGAAGCAGTGTCTTTTTATACATTTCACTTGTTTTGTTTAAAAAGTTTTATATACTCTTTAGTTTAGACTTCATCTCCAGTGGGCCACTAGTTAAAAACAGCCTAAGAAACAATTCTGTTGAAATAAACATAGATAGGGGCTGGAGGTTTAGCTCAGCGGCATAAGCACCTGCCTTGTAAGCAGGCGGTCGTGAGTTCGATCCCTGGTACCGATAAAAATGAAAAAGACCAAAAAAACAACAACAAAAAAAAAAAGAAATAAACATAGATGACAAGTATCAGAATAATTCTGCAAATTGGTCTCAAGGTGTTAAAATTTGATTCATTTGCTCAAAAATCATTAGCAAAAAAAAAAAAAAATCAGCACATAAAGATGCCTCTAAAATTACGTATTCATGATAAAGATACAGTTTAAATGAATTAAATGATAAATTCATTTTCTCATTTAAGAATAAATATAATCCACAAAGGGTAAATGTTATGTCATGTTAACAAAAAATATGCAGTTTTTGGTTATCTTGTATTTAAATAATTGTGTTGCTAAGTGGCTAAGTTTTTAAAGTTAGGATAAAAGGAAAAGTGTAATTTTAAAAGATAACACAGCATGTTTGATTTGGGAAACAAATGTATAAAAATAAAGGTAAAATATAACTAGTTGCCACATCAAATCAAATGTAGTTGTACTTCACTACCTCATATTTGGAATTCTTTAGTTTTTTCTCCTTAGAGAAATAAACTAGTGACAAAAAGAAAACATTTATTTCTAAATGGTGGGCAATTGAAAAGTATAAGCTCTTTTTTCCTCAAAACATACCCTTTGTGGGGAGCTGGGGATTTAGCTCAGCGGCATAAGCACCTGCCTTGCAAGCTGGCGGTCGTGAGTTTGATCCCTGGTACCAAAAAAAGTTTAAAAAAAAAAAAAAAGAGCAAACAAAAGGAACTCAAGTTCAAAGCCAACCTAAGTAATTTAAGTAGACAGTCTCAAAGTTTTTTAAAAACAACTAGGGATGTAGCTCAGTGGTGCCCATGCTCACTCCCCAGTACTGCAAGGAAAAAAAAAAAAAAATAGAAACTAACCAACATGAAACTAAATTAATTTCAAGAAATTATAGTTGGGCCAGGGGTTTAGCTCAGCAGCATAAGTGCCTGCCTGGCAAAAGCAAGATTGCAAGTTTGACTCTTGGTACCAAAAAAAAAAAAAAAAAAAAAATTATAGTCCATCTATATTAAGCACTACTATGGAAACAGCCAGGCATTGTGTTATACACCTATAATCCCAGCATTTAGGAAGCTGAGGCAGAATGATCGTTGTAAACTGAAGGTTAGCTTAGTGAACAGGAAGAGTTCCAGACCAGTCTGAATTAGATTTTGTTTTAAAATTTTGTACCATTGTTTTTCTTTTAAAAGGGAGGGGGTTTAGCTCAGCAGCATAAGCACCTACTTGGCAAGCACATGGTTGCGAGTTTCATCCCCGTACCAAAAAAAAAAAAAAAAGACCAAAAATACCCGAAAAAGTAGCTAGCTGCAGTGGCATGCCTATAATCTCATCTACTCAAAGGATCACAATTTTGAAGGCTGCCTAGGCAATTTAGCAAAAACTGTTTAAAATAAAGAGACCTGGGATACAGCTCAGAATCAGAGTACCCCTGAGTTTCATCCATAGTGCTCCAAAAAAAGAGAGAAAGAGGGAGGGAAAGAGGGAAAAGGGGAGAGCAACAGGGAAGGAGAGCACAAAGAAGCAAATTATTATTATTATTTTTTTTTTTTTTTGGTACCAGGGGTCGAACTCACAACTTCACATTTGCCAAGCAGGCACTTAAACTGTTGAGCAAAATCCCTGACAGAAACAAATTAATTTTATGTAAAAATTAGACCTGTATGACTCAGTAAGATAATCATGCTATAACTCTAAGGATAAAAACAAACCGAAAGAATAAATATATATTTAATTTTTTAAATGGAAGAAAACATGTTGGTTTATAGAGGCATTACAATTTAAAATCACAAGAAACTTTTCTTAAAGGTCTCACTATATAATTCAGCTGGCCTTCAATTCATTATGTGGTACAGGCTGACCTCGAACTTGTGATCCTCCTGCCTCTGCCTGAGTGCTGGGATTATTAAATTAAGAAATAAAGTAATCTACTCATAACCCTTTCATTGAACACTAAGTTAAGAAAAGGGTTGCTCTGAATCTTTCGAGGGCCATGACCATAGGCCCTGCAGTTATTCAGTAGATTCAATCACCAACTAAATTGGGGAGAGTAACAAGAGACACTTGAAATATAGCAAGGAAAATAGCAACAAAAGAGACACTTGAAATACAGCAAGGAAAATATTTCGAGAGAAACTAAAAAAAGATCAGAGTTCTAGGAAGAGGTAAAAGAGGGGGAAAAAAAAGCAAATTAACAGTGCATTAAAGCTACATTTCTGCTCATTTATTAAACAAAATATTATTCTGGAAATATTATCCAACTTACACTGTAAGTGGCTGCTTCCATTTGGGGCTATTCGTATTATTGCATTTTTCGGTCTTCTTTGACTGTCCATCTACTGTTACTTCCACATAAGGACTTGGTCCGAACCAATTCTTTTTATTTTCTTTAAGTTTTGCTGAGATGACTATGTGAAAGAAAAATACACATGTACTTTGCAGTATTTGAGATGTCAAGTCCTCAAATCAATTTAATTTCAAAACACTTGCACAGATTTTTACTGAGAGGCAGGTTTGCCTAATATAGTTCCTAATTTTATTCCTTTATGACCTTTATTTAGTAGGTCAGCAGGAAATATAAAGGACTTCCTTAAACAATGCAAATCAAAAGATTCCCACTGTCAGTATTAACAGATCCAGAACTCAGTCATGTTAAAAAGTATAGGGACAAACTTGGTCAACCAATATGGTCATGTGTCAGACACTGCTCCAAACTCTGGGAACAGATCACAGTAACAGCATACAAATGGCCCTGGCTTTCAAGACTGTATTCTGGTTAAAGAACAGTGCTTGTGATGAAGGCAGGTGAACAAGACAATATATAATGTGTTAATAAGGAAAGTCTCTGAGCAAGAACTTTTCTTTCACTTGAACAACTATTTCTAAGATGACAATATGTAATCTATTTTTTTTTGAAACTCTGTATTACTTGTACCCTTATACTGTTTTTTTTCTCCTATAAATAAAAAATAAAACTTTTCTTTCCCTTTTCTCTAAAATGACACTGTTCAGGTCCTCTTAAAGGATAACTGTCTTAGATTTAGTTTATTTTACTCAACATGAAATTTTTGGCAGACATTTGTAATCCTTTTTTCTGCATAAGCTCTATTTTTTTATTAGTGTATATTAATATAAAATGAGATGTTTTGGTACATTGGTGCATGCATATAATACTTTTTTAATATCATCATCTCCATTATCCCTCTACTCACCCATCTCCAAAAGTCTATGTAGTTTTCTGTCATCTCTTATTTTAAGATTGCTGGTATTAGAGAAAACATGTGATGTTTAACTTTCTGAGTCAGTTTATTTTGCTTAACATGATGGGTTTCTAATTCGATCAATTTTCCTGCAAGTAACATTCTTCTTTGTGACTGAATAATTTTCCATTATTGAAGTATAAATCACATTTTCAATCCACTCATTCATTATATTGACACCTTTGTGTATTTATGTCACATTTTGTTTATCTACTTATCTAGATTATTTCTAAAGTTTAGTTCTTGTGAATTATGCTGCAATCAAAACATGGGTATGCATGTGTGTACCACTACAGTATGCTGCATTTAATTCTTATGGGAATATACCAAGGAATGGGATAGCAAATCCATATTTTCAGTTTTTTAAGGAATCTCCATACAGATTTACACAGTGGTTGTACTAGTAGTATACAATGTCACCAAGAATGCAAAAGTCTCCCTTTTTCCCTACATCCTTGTCAGCATTTGTTGTTTTTGTGTTTTTTAAAATTGTATTTTTAGTACATATTTGACATACATAGTGCTCATATTCATCTTAGGAAATTTGTACCTGCACAAAGTACCTACATCTTGACTCTTTTTTTTCAATTCTCCTTCCCTCCCTTCAAACTTTTTTCTTCTCCCCATCTGGAAGAGCTTTGTTTCTAGTTTTTCTTTCTTTCTGTTCCCTTCCTTCCCTTCACCTCTCCCTGTTCCCCTTGGCATCTGAACATGTTCTTTCTACTTTCCATTATCACCCTCCATTTTGATTCATATCCTTTAGATTTCTCACACAAGACAAAAAATGCAATATTTGTTTGTCTGTTTTTTGGTACCAGGGATCGAACTCACTGACCTTGTGCTTACCAGGCAAGCGCTTGAGCCGCTGAGCTAAATCCCCGGCTCAATGCAATGTTTAAACTTGTGCATCTGATTTCACTAAAAATGAGACTAAAAGTTCCTTTACATATAAATGATTTGACTTTATCCTATTTTACAGCAGAGTAGTACTGCACTATACATGAATACCATAATTTCTTTACCCATTTATCTGTTTATAGGCATATATGCTGTTTCAATGATTTAGCTACTGTACATTGTGTTGCTACAAACATGGGTGTGCATAATCACTATGGTATAATTCTTTTAACTCTTTTCGGAAGACACCTACCGTGGACCCACTGTATCAGACAGAACTTCAGTTTTAGTTTTTTGAGGAATTTCCATAATGGCCTTGACAACTTAACATTCCTACCAATAATTGAGAAAGGTTCATTTTTCCTCACTGCCTTGCCAGGATTTGTTACTGGTTGGTTTCTTGATGATAGCTACTCTTTCTGGCTGAGACAGAATCTCCGTATTATTTTAATCTGCATTTCTTGAATGACCAGGGATGTTGCACATTTTTTCATACTTATTGGTGTTTGTAATCCCTTATCTGAGAAGTATTCATAGCAGATACCCACTTTTTGACTGGGTCTGTATATGGGGAAGGATTCTTTATATATTCTGTGCATCATCTTGCAGTTGTAGAATTGTTATCTCCTGATTCCTTGCTATTTTTAAAAGATCTTTCCTTTCCTGTTCACTAGCTGCAATCTTGTCTTCAAAGTCTGAAACTCTATCTTCACTTTCATTGAGGCGGTTTTTACAACTTTCAATGGAATTTTTGATTTCCTATTTATCTCTTTGCATCTGCTTCATTCTGTTTGTTTCTTATATTGTTCATCCAGAGATTCTACGTTTTTGTTTAGTTCCTCCAATTTTTCAACTGTGTCTTCTTTAAATGTTCAGCATCTCTTTCATTTCTTTTATCATTTCTTCTTTTACCTGGGAGATTATTTCTAGTTTGAATTCCTTCAAAGCTTCCTGGAGTTGCTTCTTTATTTCAGTTGCTATTATTTCAGGTATTTCAGGTGTATGGCATATGTTTTCTTCTATGTACATAGCTCCTAAGGTTTCTTGGGATGGGCTGGAGGCTTGAGATTGTACTTTGGTCTTTCGTTTTGTCATTTTCCTATATTTCCGTGCTTCAAGTGTTATTCCAAGGCTTCCCCTGGGCCTGCTGGAAATCCTCTTCTATGTTCTCAGCTTCTGGGTCTCTGGCCACCCAGTTCCCTGGATTGAAAGAGGGTCACCGGGGGTGGGGCAGGCAGGCTCAAGCCCTGCTCTCTTTATATATTCTAGATATTAGGCCTTTGTCTGAAGAAGAGTTGACAAATATTTTTTTCCATACTGCAAATTCTCTTCACACTAATGGTGGTTTCTTTTACTATGCAAAAGCATTTTAATTTGATACCATCCTAATGTTAATTCTTTGTAATATTTCCTGTGCAGAGTTGGACAAGGTAATACATGCCTACAAATCCAACACTTGGGAAGAGGAGGGAAAAGGATAACTGTGATTATGAAGCCATCCTCAGCTACTTAGTGAGTTCAAGGCCAGCCTGAATTACATAGAGAGATCCTGTTCCAAAAAATAAACATTAAAAAAATGTTCTTTGGCGATTGGCGTTTTGTCCATAAAGTCTTTCCCTATACCTACGTCTTTTCTAAATTAAATCTTTAGCATATGAAAAGCCAATTTTCCTAACAACAATCACCATTTATTAAGAGCTATTTTTCTTCCAATTTAGGTATTTGGACCCTTTGTCAAAGATAAGGCAGCTAAGTGTGCCTACACTTGTTCTTGCATGTTCTGTTATGTCCCACTGACACTCAGGTTTGTATTTTTCCTAGTACATGGCAGTTTTATCATGGTACCTTTGTAGTATAACATCAAATCAGGGACTGTGATTCCTCCTGACTTGCCCTTATTGCCCAGAATTGCTTTTGCTATTGTAGGTCTCTTTTGATTCCATATGAACTTTAGGACTGCTTTCTCAAATTCTGTGAGGTATCCTACCGGGTTAATATTTTGATTGGGATTAAACTAAGATGGTACAAAAATTCTGCAAGTATAGCCATTTTCAATACACTGGTTCTGCCTATACAAGAAGGAGTATCTTTCCATTTTCTTTCTCTTTGTTTTGGTATCAAGAATCACACTCTGGACATTGTGCTTTGCCAGGTAGGCACTGTGCTGCTGGGCCATATCCCTAACCATATCTTTTCATTATCTGATATCCTTTTCCATCTCCTTTTTCAGAGTATTATGGTTTTTACTGTAGAGACATTTCACTTTCATGGGTAGGTTAATTCCTAAGTATTTGATTTTTCTCAACAATATTATGAAAGGGAAAATTCTTTTCCTAATTTCTCAGTTTGTTATTCGTGTACAGGAATGCTACTGATTTTCAAGTGTTAACTTTGTAATCTGCTCCAGGGTCAAATTTGGTTATTAATTTTAGTAGATTTTTGGTGGAATGTCATAGGTCTTCTATGTAGAGTACCATGGCTTCAGTAAGTAATTTATGTTCTTCCTTTCCTGTCCAGATTCCTTTTGTTGCTTTCTCTTGTCTAAATGCTCTACTGTTCCCAAAACTATATGGAATAATCATGAGTACAGTGAGCATCCTTGTCTTGTTTGTGATTACTGAAAGTTTTTAATTTTTGACCATTTAGCATGATGTCGGCTATTGGTTTGTCATAGGTGGCTTTCATCAGATTGATATAAAACATATTCTAGTTGTACATGATGGTGTATACCTGTAATCCCAGCACTTGGGAGGCTGACGCAGGAGACTGCTATGAGTTCAAGGCCACCGTGGACTTCTCAGTGGATTCAGGGCCCACCTTTAAAAAAAAAAAGCCTCCTAATTTTATGTAGGGTTTTTGTCAAAAATGAGTGTTGCACTTTGTCAAATATTTTTTTTTGCAACTATTGAGATGAACATGTGGCTTTTGTCCTTAATTCTATTAATGTGACACATTACGTTTATTGATTTGCATTTGTTATACCATCCCTACATCCCTGGAATGAATTCTTCTTTATCATAGCATATAATATTTTTTGATGATTTGCTGCATTGCTTGCCACTACCTCACTGAGGATTTTTGTATCAGAGTTCATTAAAGAGAATAGGGTATAGCTCTCTTTCCTGTTTGGATCTTTCTCTGGTTTTGGTATCAGGCTAATGATAGCTTCCAGGAATAAATCTGAAAGTATTGCTTCCCTTTTAAATTCATTAAAAAGTTTGAGAAAGAGTGGCTCTAGATTTTCTCTAAAG